TCATATGAATATAAAAATAGGTATGTTAATGAAGGGGCGCAATTGGTACCAATGACAAATGCAACGTAGTTTTGAACTTTATTTTCTTATTCCCTGTAAAATCTAAAAGTTACAATAATGGAAGAACTTTATGTTTGGTAATGTTTTTACATTTTCTGAATCAAATGAGGAAATACCTGCTATAACTTTTTTGGTTAATTTTACCTCAAATAAGAGGCCCAATGGCCTTAACGGTTACCTGAGTATAATACAACACCGTAAAGGATCCACAGTATAAAATAAATCAACATAAACTAAAAGATAAAGACAATGTTGCCCAAAAGCAAGAGGATGATCAGAGATCAACAAAATAATTATTCTAGTACTCCGTAACAAATCCTAAAGTAGATACATTTACTTGCCTGTACTTGCCCCTATATGTCACTATCACCATGTAAGCTAAACAATATAGTAGTTCTTAAGCACTATATTAAGTATATCCGATCCTCAGTCAGGAAGGATAACTTTTAAATATATAATTTTATTTAAAAAGTCTCAAAATGAAGCTTGAAATTGAGATCTTCTCTTGCAGCAATTTTCATTTTACGCATCTCAATATGATTCAAGGTTCTTTGAAGTCTTAGAAACGGTCATGTAAAAATTTGACATTTGTACTCCATAAAAGAAAAAAAAATCATTTTTAAAGAAATCGAATTTCCTTTAATTTAGCATTAGATACCAATGCTTATTAGCATGATATGAAATTAGACGTGATATGTGATGTCTAGCAATGATCTGATGATAGCACAAGCTTTTTACATTCTCTATATAGCACTTGAAGTAAAGAGAAGAACTACAATACTGTGTAAGCATAAAAAAGATGCATTTTTTCCCAAATGCCTGGATACCTATATTTTTTAAAATCCTAAATTATATTAGTCGATCAATTTTCAATTAGAAAATGCACAGCTGATGTTCTTATTCGCATTTCCTGAAAATATATTTGAGATTTGATAATTTTCCCTGTATAATATGATTAACTATAATGATGAACTTTGAAGAAATATCATGGGTAAATTCACGTTACTATGTGAAATCAGAGACATTTTTGTGAGCATTTTCAATTACTTAAAACTTAAAAGCTGATTTTCAGAACCTGAAGATCGGACTACCTTAAACCCATCTCATTCCCTCTGACCTCTCTTGGTCTTTGAAAAACATTTAATGTACCAAGATTATATATTTTGTCTCATTTTTATTTATCTATTATTCACATGTCTCCTTGATCCTTAAAAAAAAACATTTTCACTAGATACTAAACAGAGCCCCAGAATAACCCCAGGATCCCTGATCCAGGGGTCATCAAATGCACAATTTTGGAAAAGGCATCCTTCCTCATCATAATTTTGTCCTATTTTTAAAAAAAATTCTTTTTTGCTAAATACCCATATGCAGAGTAGATTTTCAAAGAATTCATGCATTTTTACTATAAAAACAATAGAGCCTCCCGCCCCTGAACCCCTGACCCTGGGGCCCCAATTTAAAAATTTTGGGAAAAAATGCATGCTTATCAGAACTATGCTTACTACTAAGGAGCAGAGAAGATTTTAAAAGAAGAAGTGCATTTTTAATATATAATAATAGAGCCCCAACCTTTCACCTTAACACCTTACCCTGGGACCATGAAATTCACAATTTTGGAAGAGGCATCATTGAATATCATAACCATGAATTTAGTTTGTTTGCTAAATGCTCAGGGGCAGAGAAGATTTTTCAACTATATACTCAATAGAGCCTCCTTCTAGGAAATTGATGCATTTTCACTATAATCAATAGAGCCCCGTCTTAACACCAGAAACCCTGTTCCTGGGGCCTTAAAATTCACATAACCATGCACTTAATTTATCTGCTAAATATACAGGGGAAGCGGGGAAGATTTTTAACGAATTTTTGCATTTTCACTGTATTATAATTAGAGCCCCATCCTAACTCAGGAACCCCTATCCCTAGGGCAACAAATGTCAAAAAATTCGAAAGAGGCACCTGCACTTAATTTATCTGCTTAATATACAAAAGCAGAAAAGATTTTCATAGAATGAAATAAATGGAGATAACGAACAGTATTCAAGCTCAAAAGTCCAGAAAACATTACAAAATAGGAACAGAGCAAACACGGACCTCCAAAACATCAGATGTGGGATCAGGAGCAATGGAGGAGTGAGCATCCCCTGCCGACCGGTCACACCCGCCGTGTGCTCCTTGTCATGATCGGGAAATAACGGAAAAATCCGTCGACAATTCAGTGTGTAAATAATGGCTTAACAATTAGTATGAAAAACGTCAGTCAGCATTTGACTCAATGATAAATGTATTTGCTGACAAGGTCATTGTATCGACCATAGAACTTACGAAATGACTTTAAACGAGGCTGCTGATATGCTTTTTCACTATATGTAATCAAAAGAAACCTCCAACACCAGAGCCCCTGACCCAGTGGTCATCAAATTCCCAATTTTAGAAGAAGCACCCTTGCTTATCAAAACTAGTACTTAGTTTAACTGCTAAATACCCTGGAACAGAGAAGATGATTTTCAAATAATTGATGCATTTTCAATATATAATAAATAGAGCCCCCTCCCCCAACACCAAAACTCCTGATCCAGGGTCCACGAAATACAGAATTTTTGAAGAAGTACCCTTGTTCATTATAACTATGCACTTGCTTAATACCCAGGTGCAGAGAACAAGATTTTCAAAGAATTGATGCATTTTCACAATATAATCAAATAGAGTCCCCCTTTTAAGAGAATCCCTGACCATGGACCCACTAATTCACAATATTGGTAAAGGTTCCCTTGTTCATCATAACCATGTACTTGGTTTATCTGCTAAAATATACAGGGGGAGATGAGGAGATTTCTAAAGAATTTATGCATTTTCACTGTATGATTTAAGAGCCCCATTCTAATGCCAGAACCCCCAATCCTGGGACCATGAATTATGGTAGAGCGCTCACTGCTTATTACAATCATGGCAACAGTTCAATGCTTGATATCCAGGAGTAAAGAAGATTTTTGAAGATTGCTCTAATTTTGATAGTTTTGACCCCATACCTCAGGCTCCCCACGGGGGAAATTGTTTTTCTCTTCACTCATAGACGCCGAAATTGCTTGAAATTAATTGATTAAACAGTTCCAGAGAAGAAGCTGAAAATGTTCAAATGTTTACGGAGGACGCACATCGCACGACGACGGACAATTGCAATAGGTCACCTGAGTGACTCTGGTGACCTAAAAACACAAGGATTTTCATCTTTTGATATCATAATGTATGCTGATTTCTTGTCCAAGAACATTTGTATGGTATTATGATTTTATATGAATATCAGAATATTATCAGTGGAAAAGGTACGTTGCAAAGTACATGTACGTTGCGTATAGATCTTAGAGGGTAATCACGGTTCATCACGATAAAAATTAAAAAATAAGAACACATTTTTCAGGATAATATATATTTAATATCGAGCCATGTAGATATAAATATACAAACTAAAAGGTTCACTTCTATATAAATAGGGAACTGACCTATAGGGCCGGGCTTGGTTTTTTTTCTCTACAAAAAGCTTGTTGATTTCCGTTCCGATTAATGACATTAGGCTGAATACATGTAACAATTTGTTTTTCATAAATCTTTATTTCACTGAGTAGAGGTAGGAGGAACACTTGATATTCTGAGTTTGTTATCTCCAAATGTAATAATTGATATTTTTCTTTACTTCTCATTGTCCATAATGGTAATGTCTACTGTCTCTGGAATTCTATTCTTTATGTCTAGGCTATTTATTTTACAACACATTTCCGCTGGATATAATAAAACATGCCATTAATGTGTGCAAATTATACAGGCCTAAATGAAATCCTAGGGAGTACAGTTACTGATATATGTAGCCCTACTGTTTCAAAACTTAAGATCTTAGAACATTGACTGAAAAGAAAAGTACATGTATGTTATTCTAAATATGCATGTATTAAGCTCAAATAATTCAAGCAATACATAACATATTACATGTAACCCAGACAAGCACTAGTAGCACAGAAAGAATAAAAGCAATGTGATTAAATGCTAAGGAATATACATGTATACAATTGAAATTCATCGCAGCTCAATGCTGCCGAGAATACTTGTATCGAGTAACACAGAGTGAGTTATTCTTGTCCTCGGAGAAAGTGTGCTTATACTGAGATTTGTTCCACCTGACTGACAACTGTACATTGGAATGTTACGATTTGATCTCTCTCTAGTGTTTCTTATATCAAGAATGGAAATGCATAAAGGATAGATAATTGAAGGAAAATAAACAAGCCTATAAAAAATTTAAAATAGTCTTTGAAAAGGTGAAAATTTAAAACTATAAAAGTGTGGCACCAGGTGGATTCGAACCCCCGACTTTAAAAAGAAAGTACCACCGATTTTATAGTCAGTTCATATATCAACTGAGCTATTCTGACTATAAGATCGAAAGGTATAAATTTGAAGCAGATTGTCAAAATCAAGTTTACTTATTTTTTGTAGGTTTTTGTGGATTTCGACCCTAGGGCAGGGGTGCCCCTAAAAAAATCCTATCTTAAATTATTCCTTACATCCCAACCTATCAAAATATAACAATTTCATTTGGGGGCAGGCTTGCCCTGAAGGACTTCTAGGCCAAAATTCATGCAAAAATCAACGCTTTAACGGACAAAATGGTGTTTCGGCCAACTTTGGAGGTTTATTGTAAAGTTGTAAATAATAAATTTTAGTTGTAAAATACAAATTTGAAAAATCTAGACATATATACGGTAAAAAACAACAAATAAAGATTGATTTTTAAATGTCACTTTTTCCGGGAAATTGTTCTCTCCTATAGGTCAATTCTTTTGTAATAGTGAATACATCCTTTCCAGTATGAGTTTTTTTTACCCCCCCCCCCCTTTAATTATCTTTCCAATTATTACAGTTTAAGAAACAAAAACAAAAATAAGTGGATTTCAACATTCATTGCTAAAGTATAAAAATACTAAGATTGCAACACATACATTTACGATGGAAATTCTCCTTTAACACCATAACAGTGAGGGTGGAACAGTTGGAGGGGAGCAAAGGTTACTGCCAGTGACCGTCGTGTTGAACGACCTCGTACAAGTATCAAAACAGTGAATTCATAAAGTACTGTAAAGCTGTGTTGTTTTATTCAGTCTTTGTACAGACGAGATATATATCAGTATGTGTTGTACAACCGTTTTAAGCATCAATTTTATATAAAATTTCATTACAAAATTTATTGTGGTAACTGCAATTTAACAAGGTTTGAAATTAGATCTAATATTAGAGTGCAAATGTTGAATTCACTGGCCAAATGTTGTAAATATTGCATTTAATTTTCATCAAGTTAATTCAAATTTTGATTAATCTGGATAACGTGTTTAAAAGACAATTGTGGCGATTTCCTTTACTACATGATCATATACATGTACTAGTATGTGGCACCTTGGAAAAAGTGTTTTAAGGAATACGAGTTTATTTACAGGAATATTATTTTTCATTATGGAATTCAGAAATCTTACTGGTTTGCAAAAATGAGATCACTAACTACATATGAATTAATTCGCAAACTAAATTTACAATTGCATAGACGAGAAAATACATGTACACTGTATATAAAAAATCATAACCCATCTTGATCACATTTCATATCATTACTCCTATACATAGGTATAGAAGCTACCATACGTACTATGTACCAGGTTCAATCAGGATTTCAGGTCATTGAGCCTTTTGAAATCATTCTTGGGCAAGAGTTGTATAACTAATTGGACTTTTTCAGAAAAAGTATCTGAGTATCTGAATATATCTCATCTTCTTAAATGCAACATGCACTTTATCTCCTTAAATTGAGACCTCTTTCATGTGGTCTTTGGAAACAAACACAACCTGTTCGGGACTACTGACTCCGGAAGTATCGTGTGCATTATGATTCACCCCTCTGTAACCTGGAGAGGGGGCGTCATTATACCGGTCCTGTGGATCATGACCTCCCCAGTCTCGGAATCGTTGGTTCTGTCCGTAGGGAGATGTGGGAGAAATGCCATCTTTGTATCTATCGTATGGAGTATTATCAACTGCCTTATTGACATTGCCAAAGTGAGGGCCTTTTGCGCTATATTCTTGCCGTCCATGAGGTGACGAGGGGGAGCGATCATTCGGATATCTGTCATACGGAATGTCTTCTGTCGTTTGGTTGTCAACAACTTGTGAACTGCCGTAGACTTTTTGTCCATGTTTCTGTCCATAAGCTGAGGACGGAGAAACATCGCCTCTGTATCCATCATACGAGTCCCGGTTTCCCTCATTTATATGGGCACTTTGTTCCTGCCTTTGTTCATATTGCGCGGAAGAGGATTGACCACTCCTAAACCTATCGTAGGGAATGTTTTTATTGGCCGAGTTGTTGCTGCCTAAGCGTTGGCTACGCGGTTCATAGGCTTCGTGTCGTCCAGGTGTGTTTAGCTGCTGTGATCGGTTCTGGTTAATTGTGACATTATTTGAATTCGTATTTTCCATATTTCGCGGTTGGTATTTAGGCTTACTAGGTGGCGGAATATTTTGCTGTTGTATTTGGGGACTTCTTTCCATAAATCCAGTATTGGAGGACTCGTATCTTGATTGATCTTTTATTTCGTCGTATTTTGGCGGTAAGTCATCATATTTTTCCCTACCCTGCCGACCCGTCTGACGGGGACGTTCACGACCACCTATTTCTTTGGCCTGGTTTAATTGTTGGTATTGGTTTTCCGATCGTCCCTTGTTAATATTTAACTTTTCATATGACGCATTAGGTCCTGTGACCACTGACTGATCGTTTGCTGATAGCTCGTACATCTCCGAATTTTCTCTGCGATAAACAGGGACGGAGCCACCAGTTCCAGTAGGTTCATTAAACCCTAGATTATCGAAGCCGGATTTTTCATCCTTCTTACCAGATCCCTCCTGACCATTGGAATTCTCCCGGAGAATTCTTGGAGGTTTCGGTCTACGTCCCGACATTCGTCGGAAACTTCGTCGTACAAAATCTCTGGCCATGGCTGCGAGGGAAATAAAAGAACAATGTGATAACTGATTTTCTATCGATATCAACCATAATTCAAATAATTCATTTTCCCCCCTGTGTTTGATAGTTTTGTTGCAAAAAAATAAATCCCCAAAATTTGAAGAGTATTTACCTTGCAACTTATAATTAAATTTGTATAAAACTCTTGTATACTGCTGATTACATACTATATATTCTAACATATGCATCAACTGTGTAACTCACCAAACTGCTTATATGTGGTAGATCGCCCGAATCCCTCAGGGTTTTTGTAAATGTATACACCGTAACCAATCATGGCGCCAAGCAGGATCAGTACCAAGGGCACCGTGACGGCAACGGCGACTACCCCGCCAGTCTTCATAGTACTGTCCTGCTCCGGATTTATGTCTGCATTTAGGGATAATAACAACATTATGCGATAGATAAGTCCTACAATGTGTGCACATATATAGTTTTCATGTCGTCATTGTGTCATAATTCATAACAAAGTATTACAGAGGATATTTTAAGTTGATAAGACCATTTCTAGAATTGAAAAAAAGCAATCGAACAAAGTAAAAATCCAATAACAATCAAAAATTGCTTTATTATATTTTCTATCCTTGTTGGGTTAGGGAGGGCTGTATGGATTTATTTTACAAACACTACAGATGTGATATGTAAGTTTTCAATTACTGATTCTACGAAGACAACCAATTTTCACAAATTCCAATTCGGTCATTTAATCCTAAACTTAAAACAACAAAATCAAATACTAGTAGATCATAAAATTTCTGCGGATTAAAAAATAACATTATTACACAACCCTTACACTGACAAGTGGGACCGTGTGCCGTCAGTGGGCAGTCACACGTGTAACCATTCAATTTGTCCACACACACTCCTCCATTTTGGCAAGGATTACCGATACAGTCATCAACGTCTGTGAAAAAAAATCAACAAATATTTTAATCTATTACAATAACTACATGTATTTGATGCTAAATCAAAATTTTGTTCTTTGAAAAAAGATTTTATAATTTATGTAATTTTATTATTTTTTAAGTGACCTACTTTTATCGCAGTTAACACCTTCATAACCCCGTACACACTGGCATGCCAACCGAACACGTCCATTGTCCAGGGTAAAGCTGGAGTTATTTATAAACGTCCCGTTGATGATAATACCAGAGGGTGTGACGTCATCTTCGGTTACTTCGTGACATGTTCCATATGCACATGGACAGTCAACTAAATAAAATTAAGTTTTTAATACTTTTTTTGGAAGAACTACTTAATATACAATGCAGGGCATTACAACCACAAGCATACTTCTGGATTTTTTTAAAACTTTGTTTATTGCTGGGTTGCGTAAAACGTTTATCAAAACATTTTTGAAGAAACGTGAAACAATTTGTAGAATAAAAACAAACATTTTACCAAAATACAACTTGCCTTCGTAAATTTGACAGAATGACGGATGCTTACTATCAGAATGACGGATACTTACTATCACACGTTTTGCCGTAATACTGTGATGGGCATTGGCAGGTAAAATCCTCCAGATGTTCTATACACACCCCTCCGTAGTTACAGGGCTGATCAATGCAGTCACCTATATCGGAAAACGATTTTGATGATGGTATATTTATTTAATTTGAAACTTCATAATCCAGAGAAAGTTTAGTTACTACTCAGATTTTCTTAGTTAAGGTCTAAGGTCTGTAGTATTGGGAGAGAAGCTCCCCCTTTTCCAAGAAGTCCTTTGCTTTAATATTGTACGAAAATTCTGCCCCCCCCCCCGTATCTTCATCGTCATCAAATTTTTCTGCCTAAAATGAGGATAGTCTTTTACTGCTAAAGTTCTATAAAAATTGTTCTTCAATGCCCCTTGTCCCCCTCCCCCTCAGTTACGGTCAAATTCTTCAAGATTATTATGCCATTTTTTTTTTTTACAATAGTCTTTTGCTGTAAGTTTTATATGGAAAATGTCATTTACCCCCCCCCCCCCTTTTTTTTTTTTGCTGCAGTTAAGATAGTTTTGAGTTTTTGCAATACTTTCCTTTTGCTTGTCAATGTTTTTTTTTAAGTTATCCCTCCCTCCCTAACCTTGAAACACTATATGCTACGTGTCGATGTGGGGTTTTTTTATGTTGTAAAGGAACTAATTTACAATTACCAACTATATAATCGAATAAAATTTCAAATACTGACGGATGATAAAGTTAACTCGTAATACAGAAACAGCACGTAACGTAACACAAGCAAATTTTCTATTGTTTAGTCAGATATCCTTCGTTTATTAAGGCTAAAACTGTTACCATGACAATGTTATAAAACAACAAAAAAGGTTTTGAGCACATTAACATAATTTGGTTAAAAAAAATTACCCACAAAAACTGCGAATGCATCTGCAACGGTCATATCTATAATAGAAAAAAAAAAAGAATTTAAGAGTAAGGACATTCTGAAAAAAAAGCGTGTAGAGTTTGAAATCTACATAAAAGAAAAAGATAACAAAAAAACTGTCAATATTTGCACAAATACAATGTATATAAAAATTAAAACGCAGATATGAAACTTACTATTAAACATAGTTTTAGTTTTCTTTGCAAACAGGAAGTAAGGGGCGGATTCCTTGGTGAAACAGCTGCTCATTCCAACATTGTTCATGGCTGCCGTCCATCCAGTGGTATTGGTACAATAACCGCCATCAGCTGATACGATTTCAAAACTACGATTCCGGTGTCTATAATGTAAAAAGTAAAACTACACTGTATCCCTCTATGGAATAAAATAAAATAAAATAAAATTAAAGAAAGAAAGAAAGATTGGTTCCTAGGAAAATCTTGTTGAAGGAATTTGCCAGAAATCAGTAAAAGCCTCCAAAAGTTTAAGGCTGGAGGTCCCTCTGTTAAGAAAGATGATGTCGTTGAATTACATGTACTTTAATTGAGCACACAATAAGTAAAAGCTCAGAAAATGAGTTTGGATATGAATAGTCTCGATTTTTTTGGCAGTACACCGTCCATGAAGATATTGTTATAAAATACAATGGAATTTCTTGATAATATGTTTTTTAAAGGTTTGCTATAATATATTATTCTTGAAAAACCTTATTTTTTATAATTCAAAAGGCTCCATTTTAACTTGTTTCACGTCTCTCTACGCATTTCAAAAATTCCTTTTACTTGGTGAAAAGGGAATAAAGATTTCGGGTAGTGGGAAACAAATTACCCAGATATTGACATATTATAGTTGGTAGACTCTGTTAAATCTGTGAATGAACTTTTGATGATGTTGGATACTTTGAAGAAGTTTCCGCGGTTGTGTCCAGTTGTATTGAAGATAAGGAACATCCCCTCTTTGCCATCTTTATACATAGCAATCTTAACCTGAAAGGATACAGTTTGTGGCTAAATTTACTGTTTCACTTAAAATATTAGTGTATGCTTTATGTTAATCTTTCCTTCATTTATTGTATACATTGAAGTTACATCCAAATACAGTATACATGTATATACATTAAATTCACAATTATTACAAAACTTTAAAACTTTCACTTATTTTATCAGAATGTGTAATTTTTCTATGGCTTTACCCTATAATTGTATTTGATTTTTTTGATTATTGTTTTGTTTTTGTTGTTCAGTTTATTTTTTTGGGGGGGGGTGAGGTGGGGGAATAAATAAGAAATATAACGATGGTATCAGATGTACAATAATGCCTACCTGCTTGATCCCATACCAGCTGTTGATGAAGTGAGATTTGTAAGTAGGTTCATACCTACTCACAACTGTGTCACGTGTGTAGACGTATGTGCTTCGGTCATCATTGACAGTGACGTTAGATAGCCAGAGATTCTCGATACTAGTGGCGGGTGAAATAGTCTTCCCATTCCCTACCTTCAGAACCACTCTCCAAGCTAAAATTCAAATTTTGGAAAAGAAACAATATTGTGTATTGGAATATTACGAGACAGTGCGTTATATACGTCTTTTGAATAAAATTACAAATATATAATTTAGATGGTGCCCCTCTCCTAATCCTTGTTTGCAAGAACTATGAGATGTTTGGAGATCAAAACACCAGAAGAAGAATCATCCTGGTGGTGGTGGGGGTCAGAGGGTCCCTATGAAAATTGCTAAACCCCGTCCACACCCCACACCCACTCCCAATATGATTTTTTTTTTTTGCGTTTGAAGACTTTTTCGTGTAAAATTAAAAGTTTTTATTTTGTTTTTGTTTGTTTGTTTGGTTTTTTTTTTGCTTGTCAAAAAATCTGAGTCGATTCTTTTGGAATGGGTTGAACCCCCCCTTTTTTTAGGGAAAAAATTCCTGGTTCAGCCCATGATTACACCATACCTAATATAGGAACAGAATTCGATTACTGAACACTGTTTTATTACTATTATTATATTCATTCAGTCAAGATATTAAAACTACACAATTTTACCTAAAAATTACAACCTACATTTTGTTTCATGCACTATCAACGCAAATGCAAGAAGTATCTGTAGAAAAGAGGTTGACTGCATTTTTCTTCTGAAAAAAAACCAACAACATGCGTTATGAGACATTATAAATGCTTATATGTTATAACATTTTCATGAAATATCCCCATGAGTCATGTAATCACACCTAAATTGACCCCCAATCGTGACGTAATACTACCGAATAGAAAGAAAACACATAACGGTGTCTTTTAAATCATGAATATTTAACCAAACTTTTATAGAAATATAAATTTTGATAAACGTTGTTTAATCAAGTAAAATGAGATATAGGATAAATTTTCATGGTTTATCAGGTGAATGTTACCGCGTACAGGTGCACGGTAGCTTATTCAGTAATTGTCCTACCTGAAGTTGGACCCAAAACATGCAATCCCTTCACAATTCACAATTACTGTTTTTAAATTTTGTATAGAAAAACAACATATTTCTCCATTTATTACTCAACGGTGATTTTTATCCATTGTGAAAGTCTGAAATATCCTCTTGTCTTCCGCATTCAAAACGTCAATTGTGTATTTCCTCTGTCTTACCTGAGGGGCTCCCATGGGATAAATATTCCACTCCTCTGAGGATATAAATGAATAGCTTCGTATTTTTGCTCTATCTACAGAATTCATACTCCCCCAAAAATGTTTCTATCAGTTGGGTAAGAATGGGTCAAAGTTTTTGTAAAGTTAAAATATAAATCTTAGTGTAAAAAGTTACATCTCATTCCGGATTACAATGAGTGCACGTTTTCGTTTTCTAATTTACTGCGCTGTGGCTGTTTCCTATCCATGTGTGAGGCGCGTTCAAAGGAAAACATATGAAATATTTAAATGCAAAGGGATGATATACATCTGAATAAGTGTCGACATAGCTTTTGATATATAAAATGAGCCATTCTAAGAAAGTTTCAGCATTTTCAGTCTTTAAAGGAAAAAGGGTAATTTTGAAGTGTTTAATGTTACTGCATTTTTCTGGTTAGTATGCTGATGATGATTGAATTCAACAACTAAGGATTTGGAAAAACTTTGGGGAAATAGTCTCCGAATTGTAACTATTTTGCTATCACAAACAGCAGTTTAAAGTTTTAACACTGTTGTATAGTAGGGGTGCATGTATTCTCTTTTGGGAGTGCATGTACAGGTCCAGTACAATCAGTACATACAGCTACGTAGCTAAAATTACCTACTGTAGCTTTATTTACCTACCTCAGGTAGCTTTATTTAGCTATTTCAAGGCAACTTTTCATGATTTTGCTTTTTATTTTAAAAAGACAAAATGTTGCAAGTGAATGACAACTAATATTTATTCTAGGTGTTATTTGAAAAGCAATCTAAAGCAGGGATAGTTTTAATATTGCTGCGTTTGAACACTTGTAAGGAAAATATGTATTTCCATTGTCTGAGTAACTGTACACCACCTTGTGTGCGATGAGGCGTGGATAAGTATGATTACTTCACATTGTGCTTATGTTAACCAAAACTGGTTTTCTTTGTTTTTTCACTCAAGAAGTAACTGTTAGGTCACAAATTAACCGTTGGATATAGCCCCAAAACTTCTAGAACTTTGATTGCAATTGTGCAGAAAAAGACACATCTCCAAGGGTTATTTTTTCATGAATTGTTTTCAGATGAGTTCAAAGTTGAAAATTATCACTGCATCAAATTGCAATTTTCTGCACTTTCTTGGAAAATTGCTAATTTAAGAAATAAGTTTGATTTAGTAGCTAAATAAAGCTACTTCAGGTAGGTAGATAAAGCTATGTAGGTAATTCAAGCTACATAGCTAAATCTAGTGATTGTACCAGACCTGATGTATTCTCTTTAGAGCTGTAGAGAAGTGGACAGACTGTAACCTTGATCCATCTTCTGGTGGATGAAAGCAAAAAAACCTGTCTGTTTCTCTAAAGAGAACAGGGTGCATGATGTTTCAGCACCTTCAAGTTGATTGTTCAGCACTTCAGTATCATGATGGTTCGGCACCCTAATGTTTCGGCACCACAACAGTTGGCATTCTAGATATAGATAGTTTCTGCATCTCAGATTTTTGCAGAAAAAAATCTAATTAAACCTGGTATGCATTAATTTTTATTGGTATGTATAAATAACGTGTAATATATATGATTTACATATATACATATGATTTACACTTGCATCTACTTAATGTCTTAAAGATATTTAAAATTATGCACATTATGCAAAGTTTGCACATTTTCAAGTCCTCTGAAACATTTTAAAATATGCTATAATTTTATAATTGTTAAGATATCTAGATTAATTATAAGGCTTCTAATGTGTTGACAATGTGACTGTTAGGGCGAGCACAGATACGTATTCAGTTTTAAATTAGATCTGCCTTTTCAAATTGTTCGTGACATTTGGAATGTCTAGACTCTGACTTCACATGATGTTGTATGTTAGTTGCATTACCACAAGTCTGAAAAGTGCAAATTTTAACGAAGAACATGCAATCTTCTATTTATCTGCAATATCCATTAAATCAAGGTGAGTTTATTTTTTGGTGAGCTTTTGTTGTTACCGTGAAAACATAGGTTATGGTGAGATGCAGTTTGCAAAGGATTATGGGTCCAGAGGTTACTGCGAAAAAAAATTCATTAGGATCAATGTGCAAAGTCTGAATTTTCTCTTCGCCCAGGTGTCTCATTGCGCCATTCACTGCACTTTCTATTAATAGATCTTTATGTTTAGGAGGAAATTCTGAAGTTTATTATATTTATAAAGACCTTTGATCTCCTTTGTTAAATATATATATTTTCAATAGATCTTTATGTTTAGGAGGAAATTCTGAAGTTTATTATATTTATAAAGACCTTTGATCTCATTTGTTAAATATATATTTTTAATCAAAAGTGTTACAGAAAATCAGGAAACAAGGTTATATAATTTATTATACTAGATACCCATGTTTTAGCTCACCTCAACGAAGTTGGGGGAGCTTATGTAATACCCTCAGCGTCGGCGTCCCAGGTTAAGGTTTTTGGAGCAGTTTTCTTTTCAAGTACTTCTATGGCCTATATTAGTCAGAGATGCATGGAAGATGCTTCTAGTGTGTTTTATTGTACCAGTCAAGGTTTCAGATGCTGCAATTTAAGCTAAAGAATGACCAGGTTAATGTTTTTGGAGCAGGTTAAAGTTTTTGGAGCAGGTCTCATTTCCAAGTAACTATAAGCCCTATATTGACCAAACTTGCATGGATGATACATCTAAGGATGCACACTACTGGACTTGCTTCGGATGCTGGATCTGACCTACATTTTCAGGATGAGTGACTAGGTTAAAGTTTTTGGAGTAGATCTCATATCAAAGTAACTATAAGCCCTATATTGACCAAACTTGCATGGATGATACATCTAAGGGTGCACACTACTGGACTTGCTTCAGATGCTGGATCTGACCTATATTTTCCGGATGAGTAACCAGGTTAAGGTTTTTGGAGCAGATCTCATTTCCAAGTAATTATCAGCCCTATATTGACCAAACTTGCATGGATGATACATCTAAGGATGCACACTACTGGACTTGCTTCGGATGCTGAATCTGATCTATATTTTATGGATAAGTGACCAGGTTAAGGTTTTTGGAGCAGATGTCATTTCCAAGTAACTATAAGCCTTATATTGACTAAACTTGCATGGATGATACATCTAAGGATGCACACTACTGGACTTGCTTCGGATGCTGGGTTTGATTTACATTTTCTGGATGAGTGACCAGATTAAAGTTTTTGGAGCAGATCTCATTTCCAAGTAACTATAAGGCCTATCTGAACCAAACTTGCATGGATGATGCATCAAGGGACGAACAATCTCAAAACTTGCTTTGGATGCTGGATTTGACTTACATTTTCTGGATGAGTGACTAGTTTTAAGTTTTCAGATAAGTCTATTCCCAAGTAACTGCAAGCCCTATCAGACCAAAATTGCATAAATGTTGCATCTAGGGATGCACACTCCTAGATTATTAGTTTAGTGTGGGACTTTGCCTTACTTAAAGACAACATTCGTTGAGGTGAGCTCTGTAATCTCTGATTACCTATGTTTCTCATTTAGTAGCAAAATGTGATATTAATCTTTTAGCTCGATTTTCCTCTGTTATGCTGTTAAATACATAGCAAACCTGAAGAATGATCTAAGATATGTAAATAAACCTTACCTATTCCTACAGTAACATATAACCACAAGTTAGATGATGTTAAATTAATATATTAGTCTCCATAATAAAACTCCATATTTAGATAGATGCTGAAATGTCATACATTGGGTGCCAAACCGTCCGGATGCCAGAAAACTGCTGTGCCTAAAAGTCCAGAATTCACATATATGGCATATGATAAAATGTTTGGAAGAAAATGATTGGCTCTAATCAGAGATATGACTAACAGAAAATTGCAACTTTTTGAAATATCATGATTTCTCGCATGCCCTATTGTTTACCCGGGGTACTTTGTTCAAATTGAGCACTATTTAAATTTTATATATATATAAATTCCTTATTCCTGAAGTATTTTACCCCTGATATCTCAAACATTCGGATATCTCGAAGTTTTTTCTCGGTCCCATCGAGTTCGAGGTAACAAGGTTTGACTCTCTCTCTATCTATATATATATATATATATATATATATATATATATATATATATATATATTTATTTATAATATAAAATCATATCTAACCACAAACCTTAGGAGATTATTTTTATCACATGTTTCACACAAAGCTATTCCTTGTTTTACACAGTGTTAGGCCATAATAGAAAGAATTCCTAGATTCTCATCCATTTTTTTTTTTTAAAAATCGAGGCGGGCGGGCGGATTTTATTTTATATTTTTCATTTTTTCCATTCTGCAGATTGTATATTGACCTGATCATTCGGTGCAGATTTACCTATAATGCCCATATAAAAGTCATAGTAGATTCTAGGTGCATTTAAATATGCACATCTCTTACTACTCATCATCACCAGTCTTTCACAACCAGTGATCCTTGTTAAATACATATTACAGCAATAACCATCTTGTCAGCTGTCAAATTCATGCCGACATTTGTGGGAACTCTCTACCATCGGCTCATACATTCACCTCTGTCGTTGGCTCACATATATCACAGTGTTAAGCATAAGAAAGTGCATTTGTTTTAACTCATTGTAATTAAAGTTCTTCACTAATGTTTGTCTTTTAAGGTTAGATATTTACTACCCAGTAAGTAGATCTAGAAATATTAGTTTAATTTAAAATAATCCTTGAAATATTATGTTTTTCACGTTATGTCAAAAATCCTGACGAAAGCCCATTGCAGAGGTGTTTGAGAGAGGAACGAACGACAACTCTGCATAGGAGATTGATTCGCGGGATTTAAAACGAAAGTTGAATGGTAGTTGAATACTGATCTCGATCAGAATCAAGACGGAAAAAAAACTGAAATTAAAAAAATCTAGGCAGAGGTAAAAAATTGGGGCGGGTGGGGATGAGAATCTAGGAATTTTTTTATTATGGCCTTATACAATGCCTGTATCTCCAAATTTCGACAACTTCTGCCATTCATTGACCACTTTAATATGAGCAGTTTGCTATTATCAATCAATATTTTAAAAATTTTATATATATATATATAAAAATATATATATATTTATATATATATATATATATTACTTTATCATGCAAACCTGTTAATTACAGAGTTGGGAATCTCTGTTTTTATGTCTCTGCTGTAATATAAGTTTTTTTTTTTTTTGGCAGGACAGAGAGAGTGTGTCAAGCCTGGACAGCAGAGCCAGCATGCGTAAAGCATCAAGTTCCCAGTCTATCAGAGAAGATGTTAAAAAGGCTTTGGATGGAAAAGGGAAGAAGCTTATGGTGAGGAAGAAATAGCAGATGACCTGGGATACTTCAAATTTATGAATGTTTTATATATTTCATTTGAACTAGAATTTTAGTTCTTTTAATGGATTATGGTTACTTAATTCTACAGAGATAGAAATAAATCCATAGGGAAAAGAAAGAATGAAGAAATACTTATGCAACAATTCTTTGAATTGATTTTCATATTGATGAGGTTCATTTATCAATGCTTTGTGTAGTTCTTGACAGGCGTATCATTTTATTCTCTGATTTTGATAAAACCTAGAGTAGGTCTACAATTGTGTGAATCAATTGTGATTTCATTAAATGACATCGCTATTTGTTGTTGGGAAGCATTATTTTATTTATTTTAAACTGTGATTTGTTTTATGATAATCCAGAGCAAGACATGCCATTGGAGAAGATCACAATTAACTGATGATATCAGCACTGAATTTATATTGTAGACTGATATTGCTTCATACAAATAATTCTTATTGAACTTACTTATGACAAGAGGATCACTCATTTGTCAAGACCAGAATATTCTTTTTTCAAAATTTATTTTTGTTTTTAACAGAAAGCATTAAAAGGGGGAAGTCTGAGATCCAGCCTGAGAAGTACCCCCAAAGCAAGACCCACAATTTTACCTGAAACAGAGAAGGCAGAACCTGTAAGCCTGAAGAGTGTCAGATCCACCTCAGACTTAGAAGAACAAAACTCAGCACAAGGTGAGGAATACTGGTATTCTGTAGATCAAAATAGTCTGGGATTTCTCTTGACATATGAAATGCGCATCTATTTTTTTTTAGTGCAGTGCATGATAGTTTTAATTTACTTGTGTCCATTGCATCAGTAAGTTCTATTTTGTGTTTCTTTGATGTACAATATATAATAATCAGTAGATAGAGGGAAGCCATTGTCCACACCAGTTATACCTAAACAGATCTCTGCTGTTCGCCCAACTAGGAACCAAAACATTCCTCCCTCTGGTAAACATACACCAAACCCCCCTCCTTCTGACAAAGAATCTCCTGGAAAGCAGTCAGACAGATCTTCCATTGAAACTGCCACGCCTTTGGCAGAGGCTGGCAACAAACCGAAATCAATCCTGAAGCCCACAAAAACCAAGAAGACACCCAGTCCACGGGTGTCAGACAGCGAGAGGAGACAATCAGGAAAGAACAAAAGACTGGAGAATGATGAGGACAGTAAACCAGCTAAAAAGAAAAGGAGGGACAACTCTGAAGTTCAGACACAGGACTGTAGTACTGAGGTATGTATCAACAAAGGATTTCACTGGGTGTACCTCTAAATTGTGTTAAATAGGCAGGCTGAGTCAATTAAAATGCAGCATTCATGTGCTGAATTACAGCATTACAGAATTACATGTATATTGAACAGGAAATGGAACATGCCCTGTCATTTGAGGAGGAGTCAGTGTCTAGTTCCCAGCTGCCCTACATGTTTAACAGTGGAGAAGAAGCCAGAAAAATCTTTGAATGCCTCATTCACCCTGTAAAACCAGACAAATTCTTCAAGTGAGAACTATTTTGTTTGTGTGGCAATCTCATTCTATGATGTAGCAAAAATCCATCACAAAATGTTTCAATTATTTCAATATTTTAAAAAAGATTGAATCTGCATGTAGATACATTCAGAGTTCTAAAGTATAAATGTATGTATTACAAAAAATCCCCTATAAATTTAAACGGCTCTACAGTTATTTCAATATGTTAAAAAAAAATTAATTTGCATATAGATCCATTAGGGGTTCTAGTGCATTTGTATCGGAAATAACACCTCAAAATGGTTTTATTCCTTCAAAATGTTTATAAAAAATTCTGTGCATAGAAACACTAAGGGTTGAAGTGTATTGTATCTGTGTCTAGATACATTAGAGGTTCTAGTTCTGACATTTCAGAGAGTTATGGGAGAGGAAGCCTTTGTTGGTACAGAGACACATGATTCAGTACAATGATGGCTGGTTCAGCACGTCAGAGTTAGACAGGATCCTTCGAGAGGTAACTATACAGTAAAACACTCTTATAGCAAAGTGCCAGGGATGAAGAATAGATTTATTATAAAATTTGTCATGTCTTGTAATATCATCATACATTTTAAGACTATGGGGAATGAAAATCTATTTATTGCAAGCGTGTTTGCTGTAATTGTATTTTACTGTACATAGAACTGATGTGACTCTATACTTGTTGTTTATGTACGTGCCAATGTTTCATTTTTTTTTTTAATCATGTAATTTCTTTTATTAAAAAGTTTTTGGGAACCAGTATAAAAAGATATCAAAGCTATTTACATGTGTGTAATTTTTTTTTCAGGAAAACATACAGTTTACAACCAATTTAGACGTGACAACATTTACTAATGGACAAAGAGAAACTCATAACCCAGTGGGCAGGGCCTATCCTTCTACTGTTTGGGATTTCTATCAGGTGAACTGATAAGTGCACTTGATATTAATTTGTAGACATTAGTAAATTGTATGTTGGTTCTTGACCTGTTGTAATCACATAGTTATTTAGAGAACCTTCTATTGCTGTGTCTTTGTCAAATTATATGGAGGTTAAATTTGTTTTATGTACTGTACAATGCATATTTTGTTTAATTGTTTTACTACAATTTCAGACTGGTTGTTCTGTAAGACTTTTAAATCCACAGACCTACTCCAGGAATGTTTGGAAACTTCTCTCTGTGCTTCAGGAGTACTTTAATTGTTGTGTTGGAGCCAATATGTAAGCAACCCTAAGGCTACATGCAGTGAAACACTGAAATTGCAAAAAATGTCATTATTTATTGTTAATTTAACATGTTTTGTATTAACAACATTTAAAATTTTTATTGCACTTTTTCAGAATTTCCTCTCAAAATTCTTGATAGATGAGTCATTTACAAGACAAAATACCTGATTTTTTAGTTCTTCTTAGCCAAAGTCTCAAAGTGCTAATGCTATGGCCATTTGTGCAGGTGTGCAGTGTGCATCAACTTTTTGGAATGTGGGCCATATCTCAAGAACCACTTGGCCAATTTTTATCAAATTTGTCACAAAGTACCATAGGCCCAAGCACTTTCTTTTATATGAAAAATGGGGATGTGACCCTCAAAAGTATAAGATCATTAAAATCTTTAAGCAATTGTGTTATATGCGTATGCTTATATGGTAACTCTAGATCTTCCTTTCCTGCATTAGATTATATTAGCAATTTTTACAAAATTATCAATTCCTTTTCCAGGAAGAAATCAAATTTTCTAGGACAGTCAGACATAGAATTTTGGATCAAAATTTAATGCCAAAAAAAAAAATCTGACTTAAATACGTCAAAGGGTCTAAAATATGTCTTGTCAAAAGTAGGTTACAGCAACCTACTTTTTAATTTTATCATTATTCAGAGTCATATCATTATATCTTGAATGCTAAGAGGTCTAGGATCAAACCTTTTTTTCAGTTCATGCATTTTAAGGCCTCAAAGTATGTTACAGTGACCTAGTTTTGGAATTTCATGACTATATCTAAATATTTAGGATACTGAAAGGCTTAGAATCACCAACTTTGTTAGTTGGTGCATCTTGGATCCTAGGGGTGTGTTAACCAAAAAGTAGGTCATCACAGTTACCTACTTTTGAAATTTAGCTATATCTTGATATTTAGGGTACTAAAGGGCTTAGAATCTTGTCAAATCTTATTAGCCTGGATACTAATAGGCCGAGGATCAATAAACCTTGTCAGTTGATTTGTCTAGGGGTCTCGGGATATGTTGAAACAAAAGTAGGTGACAGTGTTGTACAATTTACCAGAAGAGTGATTCTAGACCCTTGGGCCTCTTTTATTAATTATAGATCAGTTCATCCTCTTTCATTGATTTTAGAATATATATTTTTCTGTCTCAGATACTTAACTCCACCTGGCACACAAGGGTTTGCTCCACATTATGATGATATCGAGGCTTTCATTCTGCAGTTGGAGGGCAGGAAGCATTGGAGATTATACAGCCCTAGGTAGGATTTTAACTAATATTATGAGTTATATTAACCAGCATATCTTTATCAATGTAGAGTTTTCTAGATTTTGCCCTGTTTGACATATTTGTAAAAAAATTTATAGACAATGGTAACAAACTTATTACTTTTTAAAAATATTATGTTCTAGGACAGACAATGAAGTTCTCCCACGGTTTTCCAGTGGTAAGCATTTTTAGAAAGTGAAGTTTTGTTTGACACATAAAAATAACTGGTGTGGTATCTGAATTGTTGAGTTACATAAGGTCAGTAAAACTTGTCTAATCCGGACTCCACTGGTTCCATGGGAATTTGCTGGATTAAACAACATTCCATTTTAAATAACATTTTTGACAATTGAATTTACTGGAAAAGACTTAAAGTTTACATAGTATTAGACGAGATTTCGGAATACACAACATCTGGATTAGAAAAATTTCACTGTACATGTAATTGTTTAGAATCTTTGTTTTGATCCCATTTTGTGTGTATTCACAGGGAATTTTACAGAAAAAGATCTAGGGAAGCCAATTTTGGACACAGTACTGGATCCGGGGGATCTGTTGTATTTTCCCAGAGGGACAATCCATCAGGTAACATTAACTTTTTTCAGATAAGTAAGACTCTTACTACGTGAAACATTTTTAGATAACTATGGCAATGATTTTTGGATGTCTTAAATTGCTGTGTTCTATGTAGGGTAACTGTATGGAGGATACACATTCGCTACACATAACAGTGTCCTGTTATCAGAAGAATACTTGGGGGGATCTGTTTGAAAAGGTAAGTTGTATTCCACGGTGGTGGAACATATTCACAATTTAAAGATCACATTATAGCTTTAATTGAGATTACTTTGTACATGTACCACCACAAAATTTTTGACTTTGAAAAGAGCATCTTTTTATGCCTCCGTAATCGAAGATATGGGGGAATATAGTTTTTGGTCTATCCTTCTTCTGTCTGTTTGTCCACAAAAGAAAACTTAAACCTTCGCCATAACTTGTGATTAGTGGGTGTTGAGGCTTTCATATTTCACATTTGTATTCCTTGTGACAAGTCTTTTTTTGGGTACCAACATATTTTACCCCATGACCTTGGAGCTTAACCTTCATTAAAAAACTGTAATCAGACTTTAACCTTCGGTCATTAACTTCTGAATGGTTGTCCTAGTGCTTTCATAGTTCACCTGTATTCCTTGTGACAGACCTTTCTTTGAGTACCAACATTTGTAGCTCACCTTAAGGGCGTTGGGGGAACTTATGTTATACTCACGGTGTCAATGTCCCAGGTTAAAGTTTTTAGAGCAGATTTCTTTTCAATTACTCCTGTGCCTATATTGATCAGAGATGAATGTACGATGCTTCTAGTATGTTTCATTGCACCTGTCAGGTTTCAGATGCTGCAATTTCAGCCAAAGTATGACCAGGTTTTTGGAGCAGGTTAAAGTTTTTGGAGTAAGTCTCATTTCCAAGTAACTGTAAGCCACTTATTGACCAAACTTGCGGAGATGATAATCTAAGGATGCACCCTACCAGACTTCCTTCAAATGCTGGATCTGACCTACATTTTCCAGATGAGTGACCAGGTGAATTTTTTTGGAGCAGGTCTCATTCTAAAGTAACTTAAAGCCTTATATTGACCAGACTTGCATGGATGATAATCTAGGGATGCACACTACCAGAGTTGCTTTGGATGCAGGTTCATTCTTAAGGAACAATAAACCTTATGCTGACCAAGTTTGCACTGATGATACATTTATTGATGCATACTACTGCTTCAGATGCTGGCTCTGACCTACTTTTTCCGGATGAGTGACCAGGTTAAAATGTTTGGATCAGGTCCTTTACCAAGTAACTACAAGCCCTACCGGGATCAAACTTGCATGGATGATGTATAAGAAATGCACACTACTAGAGACATTTTGGATGCTGGATTTGATGTACATTGTTCAGATGAGTGACCAGCTTAAAGCTTTTAGAGCAGACTCATTCCAGCCTAACTTCAAGCCCCATCTTGACCAAACTTGCATGGAATTTACATCTAGGGATGCATACTATCAGGCCTCCATCTGATGCTGCATGAGACCTGGAATTTCTGGATCAGTGACCAGGTTAACATTTTTGGAGCAGGCTCATTTCAGTGTGACCTCAAGCCCTATGTTTACCAAATTTGTGTGGATTTTGCATCTAAGGATGCACCCATTCAGACTTGCTTCGGATGCTGGATTTGACCTACATTTTCCAGTTGATCATGAGTGACCAGTTTAAATTTTTTGAGCAGGTACAATCCAGTATAAATTCAAGTCTTACCATGACGAAACTGTGATTAATGGTGCACCTAGGAAGTCTTCTTTTGGATGCTGGATTTGACTACATTTTCTGAATAAGTAATCAAATTACATGTAAAGGTTTTTGAGCAGGTTCATTCCAGTTTAATTTTAAGCCCTTCATAGAGCAAACTTGCATTGATGATACATATAGGGATGCAAGCTACTAGACTTGCTTCATATGCTGGATCTGACCTATACTCTCCGAATGAATGACTAGGTTAAAGTTTTTGAGTAGGTCCATTCCCAAGTAACTTTAAGGTTTACATGGACCAAATATGTATGGATGATGCATCAAGAGATGCACACTAACAGGCTTGCTTTGTATGGTAGATCTGAAATGCATTTTCTAGCTGAGTGAATAGTTTAAAGTTTTTAAAACCAAGTCCATTTCCAAGTAACTGAAAGCCCTACCTGGACCAAAATTGCATAAATGGGATTCATGTTACTAGATTATTAGTTTAGTTTGGGAACTTTGCACTACTTAAAGATATATTCATTGAGGTAAGTTCTGTATTTTTTGATTACCTATGTTAGATCTCATGACCTTGACCTTGGAGTTTGACCTTCTTTTGAAAGACTTTATCCTTGGTCGTAACCTCTGAGCAGTTGACACCAGGGCTTTCATATTTCACCTGTGTATTTCTTGTGACAAGAGCTTTAGGTATCAGCATTTTTTACCTCCTGACCTTGATGCTGGATTTCTGACAAGTCCTTTTTTTGGGTATCAAAATTGTTGACCTCATGACCTTGAAGTTTGACCTACTTTCCAAAAAGTTAACCTTGGCCATAACTTCTGAACAGTTGGTGCCAGGGCTTTCATATTTCACCTGTGTTTTCATTGTGACAAAATCTTTCTATGGGTACCAACATTTTGGCCTAATGACCTTTAACTTGGAGTGTGACCTACATTTTGAAATGACATAATGAAATTATAAATGAAAAGAAAAAACCATCACAATGCTTTATAAATACAAAAGATACCCACACTACTATCTACATGTATTTCAGTTGGTTCCCAGAGCTCTTCAGATTGCTATTGATGAAGATGTGGAGTTCAGAAGAGGACTTCCTAGAGAGTATTCATCATACATGGGAATAGCTCACTCTGATATGGTAGGTACAATAAGACCCTCCTTCAGTAATGTAATGTGGGATTCAGAGGCATATGTGAAGTACCGTATATACTCACATATAAGTCGGTCCACCCATAAGTTGGTTGTGTATTTTTAAAGTTTAAATAAGAGGGATTGACCTGCTAAAATACCAATCTTTTTATAACTCGCGTATAAGTCGGATAAAGAGTTTTGGACCAAAGTTTAACTCCCAAAAAACCAACTTATAGGCGAATATATACGGTAACTGAATTGTATAGGAACATTCCATTTACTCTCACTACAGACTTAATACCGCATCGTTACAAGCCCCAGGATTTGTGTTCATCCTATTTCCACAAACCTGTGGCTGCAAGATTCAGTTATTCTCATAAATATTAATGATACACATTCAACCAACAGAATAATGATCAGATGCTTTTATTTCAGAAAGTTTTGTCCAATAAAAAATGATCTGCAGGCCCGTAGAAAGCAATTTCAGCAGTTTTTTTTTTTTTGGGGGGGGGGGGGGGCATTTTTAGTTTGGGTGGGCACTACCAAGCAAAGATTTCTTGACAGGAAAAGGTTGTCTCTTCCAAAATTGTGAATTTCATGGGCCCTGAGAGAGAGGTTCTTGTATTGTAGTGGGGCTGTGTTGAATCTATACCGGTAGTTAAAATGCATTATTTCCTTGAAAATCTTTTCTGTCCCTGAGTATTTAGCAGATCAACTAAGCACTTGGTTATGGTAAGCACAATACCTCTTCCAAAATTTTGAAATTTTGGCCTTAGGGTCAGGAGCTTTTATGTTGGGGGAGGGCGGCTCTTTTGATTACATTGTATATAATGCAAATGCATTATTTCTGTGAAAACCTTGGTTTTTAAAATCAAATTTTAAAGAATTTTTTATAGAAATTTACACATATTCCATTTTTTTTTGACTAATTGATTACAGATTTTCTTACCATTTACTATTGTTTTGACCCAAGTAATCTGTTAACTGGTTACCATTGCCATCCCAAGTGAAAAAGCATCATTTCTTTGAAAATCTTCTCTGCCCCTGGGTATTTAGCAAACGTTCTAATTGCATGGTTATGATGAACATGGGTGCTAAGTCCAAAATCGTGAACTCAAGGCCCGTGGGTCTAGTGTTAGGGTTGGGTTGTGTTGAATCTGTTGTGAATGCATTATTTTGTTTTATTTTCTTTACAGTGTGATATTATACTCATGTGACCGTTAAGGCCTTGCACCTTATTAAAGTTTTATTCACAGTTTTATTCACATATAAGATGAGATACAATATCTTTGCACAGGAGAGTTCCCCCAGAAACTTGTTCCTTAAGAAGGTTGAGCAGCTGATGATTCGTATGGTGCAGCATTTACCTGTAGACTCAGCCTGTGATCAAATGGCAAAGTCATTTATACACGACAGCCTGCCTCCTGTTCTCTCTGATGGTACAGATCTTATTTCTGTTTGAACTTCCCCTATGTTTTCTTGAGGGGAATAGTAATCCGTGTAGTTACTGTTGACACTCGTTCTGAGTGTTCTTTTATGTCTTTTACAGTATGTTTCAAATTCAGCTTAAGTTTATTTCACCCTGGTTTTTGGGTGTGTTATCTTTTCAGTATGTTTCATTTTAGCCGATTATTCATTAGCTGTAAATGTTGTCAGTCCCCAGTGTCCAGTATGGAATGTTTCAGTAATAAATTTGTCATAAACTATTTAATCTTTTGTTATATATAAATTTCTATTTGAACATGCACCTGTATCACTAATAATGCCATATCATATCATATCATTGGTGTGATGGTGATTTTTAATAACTTATGTTAAATGAGATTTACAAAAGAGATGGCTTCTTTAACATATTTTACATACATGTAGCTGAGAAAGCATTTAGTGTTCATGGTAGTGGAGAGCATTGGGACAAGGAGAAGATGTGTGTGGCGGGTACAGCGGAGATTGAACCAGATACCACCGTCAAAATTATCCGCAAAGGCATCTTAAGGTTAAATTCTCACCAGTTCCAATCTCATTGAAGAAGAAATGGAAATTTTTTACCATTAAGACTCTGGATTTTAGAGACCTGAATGCTCAGTGCATTCAAAGGACTCCACTTTGTTTTAGACATTTTCTTATTTTAATGCAGGCTTTTAACAGAAGAAGATGAGGTGCGCATCTACCACTCCCTAGAGAACACAAGACTGTACCACGAAGTGGAGCCCACTTTTATACAGATCTCTGCAGAAGTAAATATGATTGTTGTCTATCAGTGGTTCTTATTTTCTCTCAAATTGTATCTTGTAAAATAGAGAGCATTTAAAATCTGTTTCTTTGTAATTTTTGGAGAAATATCAATTTCAGCAGTTGTTGCACCATTATTTGTCAGAATGATGTTTTTTTTAGGCCGCTCCAGCAGTAGAATATTTGATTCATTCATACCCGAAGTATGTCCCAGTGGATAGCTTGCCATTACCTACCCTGGATCAAAGAGTAAGTCATTTAAAATGTACTGCTGTTTCTTGATTTTAAATATTGTTGAGAATGTAATAATGAAAAGTTAGAGATCTATTCTGCAGCTGAAAAAAGGACATGTAAATGTACAAATTTTTACAGAAATTTCATTTATTTCTCAGATTGACGTAGCCAGCATGATGTACGAGAAAGGTTTGCTGATTACAGGAGAGCCACTTCTTGCAACAGATGAAGACTCCAGCTAAATACAGTACATCTCAAGGAATCAACGTATTGTACTCCAGCAGGATTTCCTTTATGCCAACTTTAAAGGTTTCAGAAGCTGTGTAATATTACTTTATTTATATATGTCCCAGTCTCACTTTGCAGATGCTTAAAAAATGTTCACTTGCAAATATGAGAAATTTGTAGATAATTTTTTTTTCTAATTATGTTTGTAAAAACAGGTGCATAATAGTATATTATGGTTTTATGATTGTGGATTTAAAATATTTTTTAGTCTGGAAATTGCAATACTGTGTATGTCATATATGCTTTTTAAAAAATTTCTGACAGTTTTTAATCAACATTTCAATAAACATTCATATCTCGGTCATTTAAGGAGACATGATTTAATAAAGTGATTAAGATAATTGTAGAAAAATTCAAAACTGGCCTATCTTATTAAAAAAATGAATGATTTGTTTGTGAAAATGATATGTACAATGGTAAGAGCACTTCAATGTAGTAGGATGGATTTAAATATTAGAATGAGGCCATTTTTGTGCTTTGTAGGTCATGACAGTCATGGATATTAAACCAATGATTGCTGACCAGATCCCATTTTGAAACTGTTTTCATTAATGGTTTCTTATTGGGTATTTATGTTGCTCCAAAGGCTTGCTTATGTGGTTTTACATACATTAAAATTATTCCAATAATCAGAATTAACAATTCAGTGAAACTTTAAAAAATTGAAACAAAATAATTAAAAATTTGTTGTGGACAACATAAAGTATTCCAATCTATCCTCAGATGCTTGAAGTTATATTGAGTGTAGAAGTTTTCATTAAATTTACTTCATTTGGAGCAATCTTTCCATACTGTATAATTTTTAGACTGATCCAATAAGTGTGTTGTGAGTTGATCAGACTCTGTCCAGATTATTCTGTACTATACGATAGCATGTACCAATACATTAGGGGGAAAAATCTGTAAATTTATGGCATCACACTTTATGCATTCTATGTTCAGGCTGCAGAATTATTTTTTCAAATAAACATTTTTTTTCTCAGACATGATCCTGTATACATCAATACATGCATTTGTACCATAGTTATATTTATTTCTACACAGAGCAGATAGCTCAATATTGTGCTTTTCATTTTTCTTTTTCACAATACAATGGATGCAGTGAATAATCAATTTAGAAAAAGAAGCCCTTTTCAAAATTTTCTAAGTGAAAATCAAGACTTTGTTTATTGAAAAGTGAAAATAAAATTTCATGTGTATTATTTAATATTGGTCATGGATCTTATTCTTTTTCAAATGACTTATGTCAGTATGCTTGTGTAGTATGCTTCCTATAAATTTTCATGAATGAAATAAAGAATTCACATGTACTGAGTTGTTGAATTAGCAGCAGAAACTTTAAAGAACTGTGAATGATAGTATTGTTCTCCCGCCTACTTCAAAGTCAATTTTCAAAACTAACACATTTGAATGATTTTTAGCTCACCTGAGCTGAAAGCTCAAGTGAGCTTTTCTGATCACCCGTTGTCCGTCCGTCTGTAAACTTTTCACATTTTCAACTTCTTCTCAAAAACCACTGGGCCAATTTTAACCAAACTTGGAACAAAGTATCGTTGGGTGAAGGGAAGTGTAAATTGTTAAAATAAAGGGCCAAGTCCCCTTACAAGGGGAGATGATCAAGAAAAGACAAAAATAGGGTGGGGTCATTAAAAAATCTTCTTCTCAAGAACCACTGGGCCAGAAAAGCTGAAACTTATGTGGAAGCATCCTGGGGTAGTGTAGATTCTAAATTGTTCAAATCATGACCCCCGGGGGTAGGGCGGGGCCACAATAGGGAATCCAAGTTTTACATTGAAATATATAAAAAAAATCTTCTTCTCAAGAACCACTGGGCCAGAAATACTGAAACTTATATGGAAGCATCCTGGGGTAGGGTAGAATCTAAATTATTCAAATCATGTCCCCTGGGGTAGGGCGGGGCCACAATAGGGAATCCAACTTTTACATTGAAATATATAGGAAAAACTTTTAAAATCTTTCTCTAAAGAACCACTGGGCCAGAAAAGCTGAAACTTAAGTGGAAGCATCCATTGTTCAAATCATGACCCCCGGGGGTAGGGCGGGACACAATAGGGAATCCAAGTTTTACATTGAAATATATAAGAAAAATCTTTAAAAATCTTCTTCTCAAGAACCACTGGACCAATAAAGTTGAAACTTATTTGGAAGCATCCTGAGGTAATGTAGATTCTAAATTGTTCAAATCATGACCCCCGGGGGTAGGGCGGGGCCACAATAGGTATATTAAAAGGGGGGAAATCTGGTAAAGAACAGCATGGCCGATGTGACCCATGGGCCTCTTGTTTGTACATATGTATTTATATAGATTTGTGTCTACAAACAACTGAGACAGTTTGAGTTTTAAAGTATATTATGCAATATAAAAACATATATACAAACATATCACAGATTATATACAACTGACAATTAAAACAAATATACTTGGCAAAGGGGCAAACCCAGCTATGCAAGATACACAGAGGCATCAGAACCATGTGGCAGACTAGAGGTCCACCTGAAGCAAAACAGTGAGGTGTGCTATTCTGTCAAGTGGTAGTCTGCTGCATGTTCTGATGAAGAGCTCAACAGCTCGGTTTGTGATGTTTGAGGTGCCAAACAGTGCTGCGGTAACCGGAAGTTGATTTGAGAAATAGGTCTGGTCATGTCGGTGGAGAGCTAGCTGGCATGCTCCTGGACTCGTGGAGTATGAGGAGTTTGAGGTGTCAAACTGATATACTCGGGAGACTCGTGTTCACATTAGCTTTAGCAAAGCAAATGACCTGACCACTGGAACAGTATGGAGTCTTGTTTCCTGAATTTTGGGGTAAAATTTTTTGGCATGTTGAGGTACAACATGTAAAAATGCATTTATATAGATATTTATATGAATTTTCATAGAAGAACATACAGACAAAAAACAGTAAAAATGTTAATTTGTTAAATTGTTTATGCTCCCATAATCAAAGATTCAGGGCATATAATTTTTAGTCTGTCCATCTGTACTTTTGTCTGCAAACATTTTAACCTTAGCTATAACTTTTTAACTGTTAGTGCTAGAGGGCTCTCATATTTTACTTGTAAATTCCGTGTGACAAGATCTCTCTTATTAACATTTCTGTCCTCATGACCATGGAATTTGTCCTACTATTGTAAAACTTTAACCTTGGCCATAACTTTTGAATGGTTTGTGCGAGAGCCTTCATTTTTCACAGGTACATTTCTTGTGAGAAGATTTTTTTTTAAGTAACAACACTTTTGACCGGAAGACCTTGACCTTGAAGTATTGATGTACTTTTAAAAGCAATTTTAACCTTGACCATAACATCTGAATGGTTGGTGCTAGGGCTTTGATATTTCGTGTATTCCTTGCGACAAGACCTCTTTGGGTGACAAGATTTCTCACCTCATGACCTTGACCTTAAAGTTTCAGTTACTTTTGTAAAACGTTAAACTTGACCTCAACTTTTGAACGCTTTCATCTTTCGCTTGTTTATTCCTTGTGCAGAAACCTTTCTCTGGGTACCAAAATTTCTGTCCTTGACCTTGGATTTTGACCTCCTTTTGTAAAACTTTGGCCTTGGCCATAACTTTTGAATAGTTAGTGCTAGGGCTTTTCTAATTACACTTGTGTACGCCTTGTGACAAGACCTTTCTTTGGGTACCATCATTTATGACCCCCTGACCTTTGAATTTGACCTACTTTTGAAAAGGTTGCTATAGGGGCATCAATGTTTCACAAACACATCATGTGAATATAAATGAAAGGATACTGAGGATACTCTATGACAAAAGGCCCAACAGCTTAAAATTGCTCTTCTGATAAATTCTACAACACTGTCATTATGGCATACTTTTGGGTCAACATATCCCTAGGTCCAAAGATATACTATAAAACATGTCTATCCAGAGACCACTGGTTCCAAAGAAATTGGCAAGATTAGACATTCCAGATTAGACAACATTTTAAACAATTGAATTTACTGAAAGGGACCTCAAGTTTACGCTGCATTAGGCAAGATTTCTGAATACAAAATATCTCGATTAGACAAGTTTCACTGTATCAATAGACAGGGATTGATGATCCTTAGTATCCAAGCTAAAATGAAATGGAATTGAATTATGATGAAATGTAGAAAAATAGGTCACTGTGCCCTAGTTTTAGGTTGTAACAAAAAGTCATAAAATTCAGAGAGTAGATAAACACTAAAGTCTTCAGTTGCATCAATTGACAAGTTCTGATGATTATAAATCTCATATTATCCAAGGCTTCACAGCATCCAAGATATGCATCTAAAACAATTTGAAAATGTATAGATACAAAATTCATAAAGCAGGTCACAGTGCTCTACTTTTGGGTAAACTTAATTCACTCAAAATTGATTTCAAAAATTATTAAGCAATAAAAAATCAGAATACTTCAATGTGACGTAATTTAAAGTCAACACAATGCAATGTGCGTCAAAATTCATCAACTGACAAAAGTTTGATGATTAAGTATCTTGGTATCAGAGATATTTAGCTAAATAGTTTTGAAAAAGAATGCCATCAAATTCAGAAAGGTAATCATCGAGACCTACTTTTGATTTGAAAAACCCAAAGTTGATCAACTGACCCTAGGCTTCATGGTATCCACAGTGACCTACTTTTGTGTAAACCTATTCTGAGGTCCTAAGATGCATCAACCAACAACATTTGATGATCCTATGCCTCATAGCAGGCAAAATGTTAGAATTTTAACAAAGTATCTCAAGACCCCTTTGACCTAGGATGATGCCTTGAATTTTTTAACTGTACTATTCTAATTGTCATGTACAAGTTTTCGATAATCTGCCCTGTGGCTCTTGAGGAGGGGATTTTTTTTTAGCAACCACTACTTTTTCTTATATTTCCCTAATTACCTTCCCTTGTTTAAGGGTCACATCCCTGTATTTAGTATGAATGAATACCCTTGGCCAAAGGATACTCTACAACAAATTTAATTTAAAGGTTTGTAAGATATGGCCCTAATACCATCAAGAGATCCATGGGCCACAATGCTCATCTGAGCACTTTGGCTAGGAATTTGAAATGTTTAAGTATACAGGCACATAGCAACAGCCCCCCCCCCCCCCCCCCCAAGTTCGGAGAATTTTTTTTTTTTGCTTGTCAAGTTTTTTTTCAGGCAAGTTGAAATTTTTTTCTCTGGCCGCCCCCCCCCCCCCACTTTCAAAAATGATGCTACATCCCTGATTTATAACTGGTCCCAACCAACCACCCAGCCAGCACATTTTGAACAAACCTGAATCTACACTAACTTGTATGCATCCATATTTTTTTTGACTAATGGCTTTAGAAGATTTAAAAAAACTTTTTCCTATACATTTCTACATAAATGTTTATCTTCTATTGTGGCCCTATATTCCTATGTTTAACTTTGAATCCCTGTTGTGGCTTCATCCTACCCCTTGGGGTCATGATTTGAATAAACTTGAATCTACACTACCTGTGGATCCTTCAACATGAATTAAATATGACTAATCATGACTTTGCTGTTCTTGAGAAGATTGTTCAAGATATTTCCTGTGTATTAATTCCCATGTATAACTTTGATCCCCTGTTGTGGCCCCACCCTACCCCTAGGGGTCCTGATTTGAACAAATTTAAAACTACACTATGTCAGAAAGCTTTCACATAAGACATATTTTCTTGAGAGGGAGATTTTTAAATGACCCCACCCAATTTAAACATTTCTTAATTATCTCCCCTTGGAAGAGGGTGTGGCCCTTCATTTGAAGAAAACTAAATGCCCTTCACCTAAGGATATCCTGTGATAGTTTGGTTGAAATTGGCCTTGTGGTTCTGGAGAAGGAGATGTTATTGTAAAAAAATTATAACAACTGATGATGACAGACAACGGACAAATTTTGATCAGAAAAGCTCACTTGAGTCTTCTGCTCAGGTGAGCTAAAAAGTTTATGCTCACTGCACAAAAGGCCATAGCATTAAGTCTTTTAACCTACTGGCTCAGATGATATAAAAACTGCATCATTTAACAATTGTGTGGCAAAGTATTCAAAGTAAACAGCTCTGTGGCAAAGACACTTTATTCATAAGTAAATTACAGAAATAATTATTGCACATCAAGTTTGATTATTTGTTCCTAGTCATACATACACAAACACAGATACACAAACACAGATAACAATATGAATGCTTGCTGCCATGACAACAATAAAATGTGTATGTAGGCTTGTTCCACACATCAAATTTTTATTATTTCTTATATAATATAATAAATAAAATATGCATTTATTAAAATTATGTTAATGATTATTGCCTGAATAGAGAATGGGACATTCAAGTTCTCTAATACTCCATGAAAACAATAGAAGATTAATACATTATTTTTCAATGAAAAATCAAATAAATGATCCATAACAAGAAAAGTTAAAAAAAAAAAAAAATAAACAAGCCATTTCGAGCACTGAGTTTAAATCTTTGGCACATGTGGGTCACGAGTAAAATCAGGAATATCACAGTTTTTTTCTTGAAATGTTCCTGGACTTCTGTTGTGGTCTTGCTTAGGCGTATGTAGAACTAGTGATGCCTTGTGGTGTCAGGACTTTTTAATACGGGCCTCGGGACTCTCTGGAGGGGTTTGGTGCTGACTAGTCTTTGAGGCTTTCCTCCGATTTAGGGACAATCTTCTGGCTGTTCTCTCAAATATTCCTGTATCACTCGACCCAGCTATTAAAATAATCAATGCAATATTAGATTATCAGTATCAGTGTTCATTTTAACACAAGACAATATAATGGACATTCACAATTCCGTGAGACATCTTACAACATATGAAGAAAATTATACTCCAATGTTAGTATTATTTTTCCTACATTCTTTGACAAACTCAATACAGGGTCAGGATAAAAAAAAAAAAATGATTGATATACAAATGTATATGTTTTTTTCCCAAACACCTGTTATATTTGTACACTGTCTTTAAAACCACAGTGATAAAGTTGACAGACTAGATTGAGGACAAATAGTGGACAAATTCAGGAACATGTAGATGAATTATATATATAAATGTATCTTATCTATATAAAACCTTATTTATTAAAATTATGAAAGAATTGTATGATTCACTTGTATTCATTAATGTACAAAATATTAGTTAGTATCAAGTAGACATTACGTGACATTTCTACTGTAATTATTTCCAGAATTTCCTCTTTGATAATTTGGTTGAAATCTACAGAATTGTTTTCATTCAAAAGTTAAATGTTCTGATTTATAACAAGCTTTTAAAAATTAATCAACATATCTACAATGTATATGGTACAGTAAAACTAGTTTAGTATGAACAAAGATATAGTGAATTTACAGATATAACAAAGTATAGGGGGGATCCCTGGCAAAATTCTTGACAATTTGTTGTAAAATTTTAGGGTTAGAATGAACTCTTATGTAAGTTAAAAATACATGTATAGAGTGAATGGATTTTGTGTCCCACAGAAGTTTAAAAAAGTAAAATTAACATCTTTTAAGCGATTTCTTTAAGATCTCAAAATTCTAAATATTGAATGTCATAAATACTTATGGCATTATTTTTTCATAAGTAATTATGTTTGAAATTTAATTCAACAGAAAATTTCAGTTCTCCAAGGTAAATTCTGAATTTAAATTGGGTAGTCACACTTAAAGGAAACTTTGTATATTGTAAATTTCTTTATATATACTTTAACAACTTTGTTATGCAGATATAACAAATTACAGATATAGTGAAGTGAATGAACAGGTCCCTAGGATGTTGCTATAACTGAGTTTTACTCTACTGTGATAAATTTAATATGCAAATTGTAATATTTGCTTATTTCTTTGAAAATAACAGGATCCAAGATATTATCATAGAGAATTTAAAAAAAAATCATGTAAATAGTAACTTTATAAAAAGGAAAAAAGTGAATATGATCATGCTATAAGAATATGATCCCATGCATTCTTCCAAAAACAAAAGATTTATTATATAGGAACAATTAAAAGGAATCCAGTAATTTTGTCTGCTTTATTCTCATTTCAAAACACTTAAAACATATGGCAATCTTTGCTTCCTGATAGTTTACAAAATAAAACAAGAGATGTGTATGAAACACTTATGCCCCCCCCCCCCCCCCCATAAATGGAATTTTTCCAAGTCCAAGGGACATGACTCTGTCAAAAATTGCTCGATTGTACCCAAAAAAGAACTTAACCTAGATATTCTTCTGATAAATATGTATACTAAATTTCATTTCACTATGTGCAACCTCTGCAAAGAAAATGAACAGAAACTGCAAATAATTGGAATTTTTCAAAGTTCAAGGGGGCATAACTCTGTCAAAAATTGCTTGATAGTACCCAAAACTGAAGTTGACTTAGATATTCTTATGATAAACCTGTATACCAAATTTCATTTCAGTATGTGCAACCTCTGCGAAGAAAATGAACGGAAACTGTTGGTGGACCAACAGAACGACAGACAGCCAGCTGCAAAGCAATATGCCCTCCCTTCTATGAAGGGGGGCATAAATATACAAGTCAAGTATTAATTTCTATCTTATATAAATTGAATCTATACTGATATCTTTTTAGATACATCAATAAACAAACAAAATAGTATGAAAGAGTTCAGGTAAAATTTAGTCAGGTGTGTATTAATGCCTCGGCCAATTGGGTTAATTAATTGCAACAGCTAACAAATTAAGGTATTTCCACCCTCATGAATTTATGGGTTCAAAATAGGAAAACTGCATTTATTTTCACTGAATATGGTTTAAATTAATTAATAATCACCAAAAATGTGTAGGTTGCCATATTTTTAAGACGTAAGACATACATACACAAGAAGTATATGTCAGCATAAAAATTGCACATTTTAGTAAGCAGTATAACAAAAATTATGTAAAACTGCTTCAAATACATAATTCTGATGCTGAAAGTTCCAAAATAATTGTTACTTTATAAATATGTTTGAATTGTGAATATCGGGGAAACCATTTTACATTAGAAGTACAATATAGAAAATACCTGAATGAAGATAAATCAGCAGGAGTTACTGCCCTTAGCAACATTTTTTAAGGATGAAATAACTGATTAAATAAGGAAAATATTTAATTTTTTTTAACTCTTTTACTTTACAATATTTTCCATTTCACTTATTGAAAAACATTCTTTCGAAAGATATTTTTCTATTGGGTATGGATTTCAATTAATAACAGTTTTTGCTGAAACCTATGACATCACAGGAGGGTGGAATTTCCTTAAGGCACGTTACAAGAACAGTTTTGTTATGTATATATTTACCATCAAAACTGCTGGTATACTGACCCTAATGAAACCTGCAACCCTTTAACACGAGGCCCATATGCCACAATGCTCACCTGAGTCACAATGGCCCTTCTGTTCTTCATCATCAGATTTTTTCCCCTATATATGTATATTCCTAGCAAGATGAAAGCTATGCACCAGACCTGGGGATCATTGACGAGGCTGGCCAAGGATAGACAAGAGTGGAGGAAGTTTGTTGCTGCCCTACACACCACAGGGTGTAAAGGACAATGATGATGATACATATTCCTATTTAAAACTTTGATCGCCCATTGTGGCCACACCCTATCTCTGGGGGTCATGATTTGAACTTGAATCTTCAGTACCTATGGGTGTTACAAATTAAACAAGACTACCATGGCTATATTGTTCTTGAGAAGATTTTTTAAGATTATTTACATGTATATATTTTCCTATGTAAAAAATATGATTGCTGATTGTTATCCCCCACCCCTCACTAGGGAACTTAAATTTACACTACCATAGGATGCTTCCTCATGAATTTAAATAGTCATGCCTTAGCTGTTCTTAGGGAGAAGACTTTTAAAGATTTTTCCTATATATACCTATGTAAAGCTTTTATCCTTTAAAATTAATGTGGTCCCACACTAGCCCCAGGGATCACGATGTGAACATACTTGAATCTTCACTATCTGATGATGCTTCCCTAAAAAAATGACTTATGGCTTAGCTGTTCCTGAGAAGAAATTTTTACAAGATTATTCCTGTATTTGCCTATGTAAAAATTTGATTGCCCATTGTGGCCCCACATTATCCCTGGTAGCCATGATTTAAATAAATTTGAATCTTCTCCACCTGAGGATTCTTTCATATGAATATGATTCATCATGGTTTTGCTGTTCTTGAGAAGACAATTTTTAAAGATTTTTCCTATATATTTGATCAACCATTGTGGCCCCATCTTAACCCCAAGGGTCATAATTTGAAGGAACTTGAACCTTCACTACCTGAAGATGCTTCCATATAAATATGACTAATCATGGCTTTGCTGTTCTTGAGAAGCAGATTTTTAATAGATATTTCCTATATAATCCTATGTTAAACTTTGATTGCCAGTTGTGGTTCCACCCTATGTAGGGAGGGGGGGGGGGGGGTTAATGATTTGAACAAGTATGAATCTACACTACCTGAGGATGCTTGTGTATAAATAATATGACCAATCATGGCTTTGCTTGTCTTGAGGAGATTTTTTCCTAATTAATCCTATGTAAAAGATGGCCCATTGTGGCCCCACCCTAGCCCCAGGGTCATGATTTGAACGATCTTTTATGTAATAAAGCTTTTACCTAAGTTTTATCTTTTTTGGTCCTGTGCTTCTTGAAAAGAAAATTTTCAAAGAGTTTCATCTTTTTTGGCCATGTGGTTCTTGAGAAGATTTTCAAAGAATTTTTAAATTTTTATCTCTCCTTGAAAGAGGGTGTGGTCCTTCATTTGAACAAACTTGAATCCTCTTCATCAAAGGATGTTTTGTGGCAAGTTTGATTGAAATTGGCCATGCAAGTATCCTTGAGAAGAAGTTGAAAATGTTAAAAGTTTACAGACAGATGCTGAACAAAATGTGATCAGAAAAGCTCACTTGAGCTTTCAGCTGAGGTGAGCTAAAAATTTAACTGACATTTCCCTTGATGCAAGAAACTTGTAATCTTTTTACCAGAACTTACTGTTTTAGGTACATATGGATAAAGACAAACCCAGCAAAAGACGTCATTCTCATGAGTATAAACAGTGAACTTTAAAACCAAATGTGAAAAATATAAACATTTAACAAACACAAAAATAAGAAAGGAAAATAAACAAACAATGAGCCTAAAACATGCAGTTTGACTCACCAAGATGTGTCCTGTCAGGCTAAGAAACAGGCAGATTATGTTACACATGATGATGAAACAGAAAACATAAAACGTGTACATCCTTGTACAAGCTGTTTACCGATATTATGTGCAGATTTAAAAAAAAAAAACAGTACATGTACAACTAAGTACAGATCTATCACAATAGCAGTGTGATTAGGACATCATATACACATACAACACCAGTGATACATTAATGCATTCATAACAACACGGACCAGTGCTTTCAAACCTCGTCACAAAAACTAGATGATGTCATTTGTGTATCTGGATTCCTGGTCACAAAAGGAGGGAACAGAGAGTGATTATAAGCATACATGTATCTGATATGTTCAATTTGGGATGAAAAATGTTCATTTTACATCAACACTGTAGAATAGAATCACTTTTATTAGCAGGATTACAAAGGATGAGAATATAGACAGATGAGCTTAAATTATGTTCAACTGTCAAATATTACATGTAGGTTAAAAAAAACCCAGCAAATGAATAGTTTTTAGTGAAATCATGGGTTAACACCCCTTAGTTGTGTGATACCGGCACTTGTTAATTTTTTAAGCCTAGAATAGTGCTAGTTGAAAAATCTGAAAGCAAGAAATCAGATAAGGAGCAAATTTATTTATTATAAACAAGCAGATTGCCAAGACACCTGCTTTGTTTTTAATGGCCATTATGCAGGTGAGCTCAATGTACCATTTAATTGCTTATTTCTCCTTTGTTTATGGAGGAGACAGAACAATGGGTAAAAAAAAAAAAAAAAAACATTTACACCTTACTGAGCTGAGATCATACAAAGATACATATGTGAAGTTTTTGAATTTCACATAATATAAAACTGCTACATGCTTACAATGGTGATATGTTTGTTCACAAGATAGCAGGGGAAATCAATACCAAAAACAAGTCTATGTACATGTATTTGTTTTAAAATGAAGACTATACCAGCAATCAGGATTACAATGGTAATGTTTCAGAAGTTATACCTGATAAGAACTTTATACATATTCATCATGATAGTTATTCAAGAGACAGTCATATCTTAATTGTGAATATTGTGAGATAATGGTAAGCTATATAATAGTGTTTTTCACATTCAATCACATTCTACATTGAATTTCAAGATAACAATTACTTTTGAAAGGGCCCCCAGTCTGGAGAATCTGAAATTTTCTGATGCTAGGGAGTGGTCATTGTTCATGCTCTGAATGAAGTTCAACAATCTCTAACAAGCCACACAACTCAGTACAGTAAAATAAACAGTACTCTAAGTAACAAGCAAGAACTCAGATGCTACAGTCTAACAGTAACAATCACTAGTTAGTAGGGAAATCGCAAAATTAGCACTCTGATTCTTCCAGCCACAACATCTCATGCAATCTTCATGCCATACTTACCACCACTCTGGAGTAACTAATACCTCTCACCATTGGCTGGCCTTGGTCAGTGAGCATCCAATCAAATCACAATAGTGTGTACAGAAATTGATACCACAGAAAGCATACACCCAATCAGAAAATAAGCACATCAAGGCATTTCCATTCCATATAAAACTTGAACCAATTAATTGTGTATAAAACTATCTCCATTAATTTTCCAACTAAAAAAATTATAAGTAACAGCTTCTGATGAACCCAAATAACTTTCTCAAAAGTGGTATTACAAATGCACACACATTATCACTATTCTTTGAGTGTGTGTTTACATCAAAAGCAAACTTGATCTGCCATAAATTAAGTTTTCTGTTGGACAAAAGTCAAAGGCATTTGTTTTTCTTACTTCTTATTAGCAATCATTTGAAAAAAAAAGAAGAAATCACTGAGATCTTAAAATTGAATGCAAAACAATCTGGTTAGGCACACATCATGCTTAATGATTACCACCAGTATCTGACTATCAGTCTGACTGGAAAGCACTAAGTCCTGAGTTTGGAGATTTATCCACATCTTCACATTCAAACTCCAAACTCAGTCTTAATTACGATACTTCAATCTTCATAAACAGACTAAGAAACCACAACATGTTAGTTTGAATTTAATGAACTATTAGTCTTTGTAACAATCCATGTTGCTGATCAACAGCCTGTGTATAGATGTCTTTTAACATAACAAGCTACAAACAAAGGGAGGTAACTCAGTAGAAAACCAGATTCTCCTTGCCCTTATGCCAGAGGGCTGATTGGGCTTTCCTACCTCTGCTTTGTCTGGGCAGGGCAGGGGACACCTGCTCCCCGATGCTGTTTTGTGACTGATCGACTGATGTCATGCTGGCAGTGATACTTAGGTCCTGGGATTGGTCCATAACTGTCAAATGGAAAAAAATTGATCTTGCTAACATAAAAAATTCATACTTGTATATTTCCCATAATGTATGTTCAAATTGACAGAAATGAGTTGTGACGAATATTTAATAAAATTAGATGGAATTTTTTTTTATAATTTAAACAATACTACATTATCTAACATATCATAATTATGTACAATGCAATGTGATACAAAAATGGACAGTGCAGCACACATTACTGAGGTAAATGTAAAACTTACTCATGGCATTCTGAGGGAGGACAGGTGCGAACACATTTGCAGCAAAGTCTTCAAACATTGTGAAAGCAACATGCTGCTGTATGACTGTCTCAAAGTTCTTGGCTCGTTCTTCATAACTGTGCAGAATTAAGTAAGCTAGTAGTAAACCCATTTGAAGCTGTACACCTTTATCAACAGATGCTAATAATCATATGTACATTTTCACTGTTGAAATATACTAAGAGAAATTTATATCATTTATTCCAGTAAATGACTTTTTTTAAACACATTAATGCATATGTACAAATTAAGGAGTACATGTATGCATCACGTAATCAGTAGTCTCGTTCAACCAGACACTTGGCTGTGTCCCTTAACTTTGATGAGCAGAGAGTCTGGTAAAGACCCGTGATCACGTTTATAATACCAAAACAAGGCTTACCAAAATTCTTGTAAAAATTTTTGATTGGTTGAAAAGAACGCACCTCAAAATTTAAAAAAAATAGGTGATATAAATTGGCAGAAAAGCAACTTAAAAATGTAAAAGTTGAATGTCTACTAGTTGTAGCATTTAGGAAGGAATTGTTTGCGGTATTGCCCACAGGTTATGGGTGAGTGTTTTATACACTTGTTTTGCAAAAATTATTGTCAGAAGCAAAAGTAAAAGTAGTGTACCTGTACTCTACTGTCGCACTACTTTCTATAGTGTATGCTACTACATGTACTATTTTGTCGATTGTTATTGTTATTATACAATTAATTACCCCTTATGAGGTCAACATGGTGAAATAAGGACCCGAGACCTGGCCCACAAGGTGACCTGACCTGACCGAGGCCACGTAGCGGCTGAGGTCAGATCAGGTCAGCGAGTGGGCCAGGTCGAGGGTCCTTATTTCACCATGTTGAACTCATAACGGGTAATCAATTGTTTTATTATATCGATATAAGTTAATGCAATTTTTGTAGGCTTAATTACAAAAATAATCAATTGTGTATTAGACGTACGAACTGTTATTATCGTGTTCCATCAGGATCGGGATTCGATAGTGAAGTTGTTTACTTTTCGCCTGGAAGTCTTGTAAGTTTTTGCACCGCGGATTTATTAAAACACTCTGTGATTGTCAGTAACATGCATTTTTATAAATTCACAAATACCATTCCCGAGTACAATGACAATCTGGTGCAGACTTTTACTGTACAAGAGAGCCGAGTCTGCATTCGTTGAATTTGACATTGTTTCAATGAAAACAATAAACATGATAAATGTTATCAGGTTATGACGCATCTAAAGGCCAATCGTGCTCCGTATCCTAAAAATACTATACATATTTTTATAACGACATTTTTTGTAATGTACAATCATTACTGTATGCATAATTTTTTTTAAATTTTTGAATGGAATTTGGATTAACAGGTCATTTTTAGCGGTCATTATTTATAATGACCGGGTCATTATACCCCACGTGCAATGATTCCTAGGTCATTATTGCTGTAAACGGTACTTTTTGGAGTCATTATTGAGTTTAAAAGCCTTCCAACAAGCCAATCAAACTTGAGTATTCTTAATAGAGGTATAATAATTATCCTTTGGATCCCTGAAGAAGGGTCAGTTTATTAATATAAAAATCACAATCCAACAGAAAAATCATATATATAACATTCCTTTTCAAATGGGTCATCAAAATTAAAACAAGGTAATGCCCTCTATCAGTTACAAACACTACTGTGACTCGTCACCAGACTCTCTGCTCATCGGAGTCTACAGAGACAGCCAAGTGTCTGGTAGAACAAGACTACTGGTACATCATCAGGGATTGCTCTACAGAACATGTGATTTGTTGTATCTAATTAATATTCATGATTTTATGTTACTTGATCACAAAATCTGATTAACATATTTGCTATAAACATGTATGAATTTAAAAAGCAATAAACAAGGATACAATGAATGATAAAATGGCAGCAAGGATCGCTTGACACGACTAGCGTTGATTGCTGTAGCCCTGACTAGACCTGGTAGAACCTTCCTGTCTAATATTGCACCATCAAACAGAGGTCCAAAGAAAGGAACCTAGTCAAAATATCCAACAGTGTGAGAGGAACAGTGCTTAAAAAAATGTCAAATAGAGTATACAGAATATCAGGGAACAACAAATAAAATCAGCAATAAAGTGCATACTGAGCTTAAAAAAAAGGACATGGATGGATATTAAATACAGGGTCTTATCACTCTAGCATAAATACATGAACATGAATAGGACAAATATATTCCACCATTGAAAAGAGTTTGAAATTCTATAGATTCAGAGATAAAATTTCAAAATTTTGGATTGGCTTAGAAATGAAGTCCTGTAAGATGTTTTTTTAAAGAAGTCATTAACAGTTTATATAGATAAATTATTACCTCTGCTTTTTTGTTAATCTCAATTCTGTACAACCCTGAGGGTAGTGGATAAATGATAATGAGGACATCCCCAAACTCTGTCGGAATAATTCCTCGTCTGTAATCGCGGGTATGCTCTGACCAGACAATGTGAATCTCATCATTTCCTAAATGTCTCATCTGCAAAAAAAACCCCTCTTCATGAATGCATAATAAAAGCACACAGTATTAGAAACAATATCAAGAAATTCATGCATTTTGCTCAATGGCTTTCATATTTCCCTAAATATCTGTAATTGGTTTCATACCTTTATATAATTAGTTAAATACCTTTATATGCATTGCATCATCAGAGCCTGAAGGCATCCTTGTAGAGACATGAAATATACACTCTGTGAGTGACGTGGCGTAGTATGGTGCTGTATCTCCAGTGGTCCTGTTTTGCTGGAGTCCTCCTAAAAAACCCTGATGAGTCTCTAAGTCCACCTGAATTCAAGAAATATCTATATCTATATCTATATATATATATATATATATATATATATATATATATATATATAGATATATATATATATAATAAAACAGAAAAACATGTACATACATATATATCCATCTTGTTACCAAAAAAAAATTGTTTACCATCATTTCTTTCAGTTTGAAAAGAAGTTGGGATTATTGACACTACATCCAACTTCAAGTTAATTTCAAATATTGTGGATCAGCTTGATACACTTCACTTGTATAAATTGTTTTATATTGTGTATACAAATAGCTAGAAATACTCTTAAAAGGTTTCAGCCTGATTTGCAGATGAATTAATAAAAAGAAAAACTTCCTTCAAATTAAAAAAAAAAACATGCCTTGTCAATATAAGAACTTTGTGACTTAAATTTAATAAACCTGCTGTTCTTAGATACCATGACTGCCACCAAAGGAATTATAAAAGCTCCACAACATTTGTAATGACAAGATGAAGTTGAGACCTACACTGAACACATCAAAACTTTTACATAAAATGTCACCAGGAGTTACCTCCCATCCTAGCCCTGCTACAAAGTCTTCAAATGCTTTACTTGCTCCACAATTTGAGAGGATAGAATTCTTGTCTTCTTGGCCCTCAGCCACATATATCACAGCAAACTTATGTGTTTCACGACTGAAAATAACAACTCTTATGCAATAAAGATCTGATGCAAGAAAAGATTTCATTTATATACAATACATATCATTAAAAAATAATACATGTATATATTTTTTCCTTAATGCAATGCGTTACCTTTTTTAATCTTAAATCTGAAATTCTTTACATTTGTTTTTATTCCTTAACACACACATTTAGAAATCAACTGGTTACATACCATTTTTGATTGTCCAGATTTTTCAGTTCTCTCAAAAGTTTATCACTCTTCCTCAAAAGGTCAAAGTGGCATCTGCAAATACAACTAACACTGTATAGAACTGAAACATCATACATACAAACTTTGACCTTTTCCTATGAGCAACTGAAAGCAAAATCTAGATAAATAAAACATCTATAGATCTCTATCTAGTATTCCTCTACATACAATATATAATGAAAATGAATCTGGGTTAAAATAACCTGTTTTACACTTACATAGTGAAAATAAAGCCTATACATTATGCTAGTCAAAAATATTCATTTTTTGTATCATATTAATATGTGATATATTTTCTCAATGCATTGATTTTAATCCCAAAACCTAGAGTTGTCTTCAGTTAACCCTTCCCCATCTCTATAGTAAGTGTGAAATCTGCTTGTCACAAATTGCAAGTTATCTCATCTCATGCAAATGTATAATGTTCATATCAGTTAATATTGATTACCGGGTAAAACATCTAAAACTAGAGGCCCATAGGCCACACTGCTCACCTGAGTCACATTGGCCCACTGTTCTTCAGCATTAGATTTTTTTTTCAAATTTTTTTTCTGTGTAAAAGTATGATTTTCTATTGTGGCTCAACCTTACCCCTGGAGACCATGATTTGACTAAATTTGAATCTACGCTAATTGAGGATGCTTCTGTATTGATAAGACCAATCAAGGCTTTGATGTTCTTGAGAAGATTTTTTTAAAGATACTCTCCAATGTATTCCTAAGTAAAATTTTGATCGCCTATTGTGGCCCTACCCTATCCCCCGGGGTAAAGATTTAAACAAATCTGAATCTACACTATATTTTCAAAGATTAATCCCTACATATTTCAGTGTAAAACTTGGTCACCTACTTTGGCCCCACACTATGTATGGGTCGTCATGATTTGAATAAACTTGAATCTACACTATGTAATGAATCTTTCATATAAGTTTCATCTTTTCTGCCACAGTGGTTCTTCAGAAGATGATGTTCTCAACTTTTCACCAATTCTTAATTATCTCCCCTGAAAATAAGGCATGGCCCTTTATTTGAACCAACTTGAATCCTCTTCACCCGAGGATGCTTTGTGGCAAAGTTGATTGAAATTGGCCCATTGGTTCTGGAGAAAAAGTCGAAAACGTGAAAAGTTTACAATGACCACAGCAATGATTACAATGACAGACAACGGACAAACTTAAATCAGAAAAGCTCACTTGAGCCTTCGGCTAAGGTGAGCTAAAAAAGTAATTAATATGAAGTCTGTACTTGATTCCTCAAAATGTAGTCAATTATTGTTGCATAAAATATGTTAATGCCAAAAGACAGTCGTAACTATATGGTTACCAGCATTTTGATACTATTACAAATCTTTCAGTTACCAATGTTGAAGAACTTGTATGTCATACCTCTGTTCCCATGCAAGCAGTCCTAATTGGTCCAGCAGCATCCTACACATCTGGAATGGAGGCATTGTCTCTTCAGCTTCACTGGGAACCTGAGGTTTGGCCAACATACTACAAGTAGGTAAAAAACTATTACATACAAAAAAATCCCCATATTTTATTCTTCAAAATGAGTATTTAATTAATAAACACTTTTTGTCTTTGAATTTTTATGATAAACTAATAACCGTAAAATCCCTTTTAACTGCCCTTGCCCCTAAGGCCTTTTTCAATTGTCAGGCAATAAGGGCCCCCTGTGATTACATATATCTTTGTAAAAATGAAAATGATTATACAAGAATCGTATCGAAAGTCCGCCATAATTTGAAGTAAAAATGAAACTTGGTTACTGGGTAATTCTTACATAAAGTATTCCTGAAAGTGAAAGATTCTTAGAACTACCTAATCATTATGTATTTCTGAAAGTGAAATTTACCTATGATTTGTTCTCCTTGTGTTTTCTCCCTTTTTTCAGTGGAAAAATAAATCACTGAGCATAACTTATGGTAAATTAAAGTAAGACATTATTTAGTGGTTCTCTGATTTATTTATTTTTTTTAAAGATACCAAAATAATCGCCCCCATTCTCAATTTTCTAAGTGCCCAGGGTGGTTAAAAGGGCTTTTATGGTAATACCAAAAATCCAAATATCATAAAAACAGACAGGTATTAATCACACTATATGAATCGTACTTATTAGCTACATATTGGAAAGTAGTAGTTTTATTTGCATATTTTGTGCATGAACCTAATTCATGTATTCAAGTAATCTACATTGCCTATGGAATCTTTGCCTTATATGCTATTTCACTTGCTAACAAATCTTTCGGAAATGAACCTTGAATACGTTTGAAAAAGAAAATGTTTTCTTTTCAAATATCAACTTATATGCATTTATAAAGGAGCAAAAATTATCTTTTCATTTAATCTTTTTACAATGGGATTCAAATATATTATGAATTACAGTATATTCAGAAGCATCAAATTAAACTGTTACAAAAAAGATTTAGCCTATTTTATTTCTAGTCACATTAAAAGCTTCTGAAAATTTCAGAGTTATATTCTTCCTTGTTGAGGGATGGTCATAGTTAACACATGCTGATAACAGCTAATATCTTTTGACAATGTTGATGATATAACTAAATTTTATAATTTGTTTGAAATTAAAAAACAATCTCGATATTTAAGAGAATCATCACTTTATTCTTCAAACCACCACCAATATATGGTAAACACAAATTTCCCACAACAAATAGTATAGATATTGAGGTTGAATAGATTAATTTTCTCTGACTATTCATATCACATTTTGTCAAAACTTTCATAAAAAGTAGAAAATTAGTCTCTGTTTCACACACACACACAAGCAACTCTTTCTTTTACATTGTAAGTCTTGTTAAGAAACAGATTAAAAAATTCATTTCAAAGCATTTATGTGGGGTTCCTAATAAATTGTAGAATATGAAAACTGCATTAACTTCATTTCCAATTTTGCTTCAATTGCTTTAAAATATCCCAGAAAATGGACTCTTTACCATCAGTAATAATGCAAAAAAAAAAAAATTAATAAATATATAAATAAATTTAAAAAAAATAAAAAACAGGACAATGTACTATTCCTTTGAACATTGAACTAGCATGTGCATCTAACAAAATTTATACCTTCCCTTAGTACACGCCGTATATCCAGATCAGTGGCCAACTTAACTAACATAAACATCACAAAATCATACCTAACTGCAGATTGTATTGTGTATTTTAATCCCTTTTCTTTGTTTCATTTCTGTTGCTTTTTTATTATTATTATTTTTTGAGGGGGGGGGGGGGGGGGCTTTTGTAATCATTGTCCCAAGCCACAGGTTTTGTGTCCATTCTACTTCCAAAAACAGAATGGACACAAAACCCGTGGCTTGCAACAATGCTTTGTAATGTTCATCAGTGACAAATAATTCAGCAATATGGAGGTATTGTTTATATGAATGATCTCTTTCAACTGAAAATTCATTGAAAGAAATTTTTGAATTGTAGGAGTATTAGTTTTGTTTTATTTTGTTTTTAGTAGACTTTGCATTATCTTTCCACTTGACATTGCTTAAAATAGGATATTAGTGATTACCGTAGATCTGGAAATTTTTACGTTGATTTATTTTTGCGAATCTGGGTCAAAAGTCTGTTGATTTATTTTTATGTTTAAAATTTTTGCGAATCGTCATTTGAACTAAAATATAAAAAGCTCTTAAAATTTTCTTAAACGTTTGTAAGTTATGCATGTACATACAATAAATTACGAAAAAACATACAATATTAAACTACGCCAACGTTCAATAATCAGATAAAAATATTAGAAAAGATAAATCATCCAAAGTGTTGAAAGTTTTCATAACATTTTCATAAATCACACATGTACATAAAATATACATAAAGATGTACAGTGTAATCTTAAAGTAATCTTTAGATAAAAACATTTTTTGTTGTTGATTTATTTTTAAGAAAAATATTTTTGCAAATGTAATGCATGAGCAAATTTGCTAAAAATTTATCTACAGCAAAAATTTCCAGATTTACAGTAACATGGGATGGCTGTTTTTCCTCATAAATCCTCTAAGATGCCTTTATAAAAGTTTCCATACTTTAGGACATCAAGAAAAATAACAAAATGTGTGTGCATCCCCCTGTAATGTTGAATGTTTGATAAAAGACACCAACTTGATCAAAGTTAAAGGGATTACACATGGATAAGCCATGACTTCAATCATATCAACAAAAAAACATTAAAAAAGTGGAGGGGTTAATGGTGGTCTATGTTTACACTGGTGGATGTTTTCAGCTTGCAGTAAAACAATTTAACTGTACACAAACTGTATCAACAGAATGTCACATATTTTACTTAATAAAAATAAAAATATTAATTACAGAATTCTACAATTTACAGGGACACACCTTGCATATGCACTGGTAGCTCTGGGAATAACAGTTGTATGGTTTGTTTTGTGCATTTTTTCTCTTTAGTGCATATTATATGTACTCTTTATTTAAATCTCTACAGAACAGTTTAATTACTTACTACATATGTGATGTTAAATTATAAGTTTAAAACTCAATCAAAATTGACATTCTTGTCCTTTACATGAGTTTCAAAGAGATGTAGCAAAATAATAAATAAAAAAAAAAACTACTGCTCTACAATGAAATAATTTAAAGTTCTCTTTCAAAGTAAAGTAATTATTCTGAAAAAATTCGAGAAAATTCGAAAAAGCTCAAGTTAGTGTGCATTTTAAAATAGCATTTAATATTAATCTACATATAAATTAAACAAAAGCAAATTGCATTAAATTACCAATTATCTTGACAAATAGGAATGTGAGACCTGTTAAGCATAAATTGAAAGTAAAAAAAAAAAGGAAAAAAAAAAGAGTCATAAATCGTAATAAATGTGATAAGAAAAGAGGTGCCCTATGTGTAAATCAGATGAATATATAGTTTTTTATATACATATATTTCCATTTCTATTTGTTTTCTCTGTGATAACTCTCTGAAAGTTAGTTGAGTTGATTTCTTGATAATTCTACCGGAATGTAAATTTCGCCAAGCGAAAGGTCAGGATCTAACAAGGCCTTATATGCATGTAATTCTCGTGCGACTGTCTTTGTGTCTGGCGCTAAGGAGGCCTAATATGCATGTAAATCTCGTGTGGCTGTCTTTGTGTTTGACGTCAGTGGGCGGGGACTATTGAAATTGACATGGGAGGCCTTGTGTAATTTAAATCTATTAGACTACATTTTTAAATTCTAAATTTACAATTTTATTTCACATTGAAATGGAAATATAAGGAATCACTGTCTAGTTAGTAGAGTATGCCAGGGACATCAACAATAGTTGGAAATGTGGGATAATTTAAACATAACAGGCTTCGCCTTAAATAAATTCCTCCCACTGCAGTGCTATATGTTTCACACTCCAATACAGTGATTTTTTTTAATTAACTTTTAGAAACCATAACAAGCAAATGATTGGTTGTCATTGCATGTATGATGATTACATCTACTCTATAAGAGGTCACATTGTGCTACAAAATATTGGGTTGTAGACATGTATATTTAATTTCAGACTGAAATTTAAAAAAAATTATGGTGCTATGAATGAAAAGAAATATATAACAAATGATTTTTTCAAAAAGCGATTTTCTGAGAAAGTACTCTTCTGTGTAAAATAGATAAGTGTATACATTTTATTGTCAGAATTTCAGAGGGAAAAAAATGGTGGTGCTTTGAACTACATGTAGAAGCAATAAAAATTAAATGATTTTTTTAAAAAAAAGCTTTTATTATTGAGAAATTGAGGTAAAGAAAAATTGATGAATGTGATTTTTCTTAAAACAGCTATAATTTGATAGAGGTATTGAGAGTTCTACAGAAACAACTGTACAACAACTACAGACCTGGCCCTAAAACAACACACACTTACTTCTGCAATTCCACACCTCTGGCAATCCACAGGAAAAAGTCAAATAAAATAAAATCATGCAAAAAAGCTGTATTAAATTTTAACTATAAATGGGCATAATTAATTAATGCTAAAAAATATCTTCATATGTGCTCAAAAACTATTTCAAAATAGCACATGCCGACCAACTAAATAACTCTTGGAATGTTATTTGATATTGATAACCACACATACACTTTATATGTATATATATATGTATATATATATTTAAGTTTGCATACATACATACATCTTAAAGTTTTATACTTTTTTCTTTTTTTCCAATATTTCCTTTGTTTGAAATGGTAGTGACTAATTCCAGCATTAAATTACTTTAGTTGGAAAAGTTCTTAAGTCTTGTGTCTGTTTTAAACCTAGTATATATACTGTAATGGTGTCTTATCAGGAATCACTCACCCTCTGTCTGCCTTATGTTTGCTGTAGTACTGCAGTTCATTGTTTTTCTGATGTAGAACCATCCTCTTTATGGCTTCTTCACTCTCTCTACTAAATCCTTCAGGTGTGGATGCCTCCAGGTTCAGTGGCTCCCCAGGTATTAAATGACATTCAGGACTGGTGTGACCTATATACCTCAACATCTGCAAAAGGTGATTAGGGAAATATTCACACACTAAGTAAATTTAACAATTGGATAAAAATGTATGCTGAAGAGTCAGCCAGTCAGTCATTCCTTGTTTCTGCCCTCTTCAACATTGTTTCAGAACAAAGAAAATACTTTATTACAGTATACAAGGAAATTTTTGCCCCTGTTTTTTTTTTTTGCCCCTTTTGCCCTACTCTCAGTTGGGTGAATTTAAAATGGGGCAAATTCAAAGAACACTGTATAATTTCTTAAACAGAATTGTGATTGGGCAAATTTAAAACTAAACAAAATTGTTTACATGTGTGAAAGGGCAAAAATAACCCAGGGTGAAAATAACCCTCTTTACAGTAATACAGCATGCACAGATCTGGCAGATATACTTTACTGAAAGGAAAAAGAAATGCATACCTAAATATAAAAGGTTAGAATTTATTACTATATGACACAATGATAACCAAATACATTTTTACGTAATATTTCATTCATAATTGTCATTAATCAAGGCATAATTGAATCAAATGACATTTTAGCACCGCAGTTATCAAGTATAGGGGGTATTGTTATTGTGTTATAGTATGGATCAGTTTTATAATTCAATATTTCAAAAGTCAATATTGTGTGTGTGTCCTCATCCCGTATTTACAGCAGCTGGTATCAATTTGAGCATAAAATCGATCAGATGGTTGATTCTTTCAACAGGGATGAGATTTCACTCCTCCTTTAATGCTTGCTTCAGCTCATTGGTGGCATTTGAAATGAGATATGGGAATCAAATACCTCAATTCATTTCATCCTATAAATGCCCAGTTGGAGACAATTCGGGAATACATGGCGACCATTCTGTGCCCGTACATTGTTGGTCACATGGAAATCCCAGCATACCCTTGGAACATGGTTGTAAGGCCAGTTGAGTGGGTAAATATGATTGTTCACAAGAGAGTTTTGACAAACTCTGGTTACATTGAGCTGGAGGCAAACGTGCTTAAATTAGACATACATCGCATGTGTGCGCGAGTGAGAGGAATACTGACATAATATTGGTGAGCTCACAAACTAAAATTGCACAATACGTTTCTTTCAGTCTTTTGGTGAATGTAATGATTATGACTGTCTCCTGTATTAAAAGCAGTTTCAGTGGTGGTGAGGTGGCGGTTACACAGGTGGCAGGATGAATAGCCCAATCTTATGTGGCTTTGTTACATCATCATGGTTGGTTGGAAACCCTTCCAGTTCCTCTCTAATGATGGATAAGTTGTTCTATGGTGGAAAAGTTACCTCAAACTGCACAGCAACCTGTTGTTGCATTTCCTTTATTCTGGCAATGCAATAGGCAGACCCAATGGAACTTCCGTCAGCTGTACCATGATTGTAAGAAATTCAAATTGTCTATGAATATTGAAAAAATGATATGTATACACCTAATGCATCAAATGGTATTAAAAATTGTGCTGACAAATTTGTCATCATCAATATGCACACGTTTTTTTTGCTTTTTACCACTTTTCCTACATGACATCAAACATTTCATTGTTGAGTAATTTTGAACACCGATTTTAGTGCTCAGTAACCAAGGTACTCATCAGACCAGTTTTTATAATTTTTGGCTAGGCAGTCCAAAAATTTGCGCTTATTAGGTTACCCTGGGTTTCTTTTTCCTTTCGGGATAAATTCAAAACTAGTATTTGAAACATGAATAGACACAACTGTAGTATATCAATGAAAAATATGCATTTCTTTTTCCTTTCAGTATATACTGTAATACAGGTGACTTTTGATAACTCAAAGTACTTCAAATGATCAAGAGTTTAAGTTTTCCAGGTTTTCAACTACTTAAATGTCCAGTTAAAAGTGCTAATTAGGTCTAGCTTGCTTACCCATATCTACTTTGAGGTATCACAGGTATAGAGAGAGAGAGATTGAGAGATCAAGAAATTTGAGAGATCAAAGTTTGAACCAATGAGAGTCACCTGTAGTTCATAACATGCTGACTTACATCATTCAGGTTGTCCTGATGAGGCAGTGAAAGGTTATACAGAGGCATCTCAGAACTAGGTCTCTCTGTCTCATTGTGGGCAATATCCTGGTCATCATGCAGCAACAAAGGTTCAAGTTCACCTGCACTTGACATATCTAACAAAGCTTTGGCATCTGTAAAGGAACCTCAAATATTCACATTTGACATATATGTATCTGAACAAATATTCCGTTTACACTTGACATATGAGCAAAAGTTATAACAAAGTTCAGAGAGTGAGAAGTGTTTTTAAAACATGTCTCTGGTGACAACCTACTTTTAACAGAGGATCCCTCCTGACACCAAGGAGGTGCATACAACATAGAAGATTCCCAGGCATATTTCCCCGTCAGGTCCCTCAGCAATACTCTACACACAGTACGAGCTGTGGTCAGTCCCACAGTTACACCACCCCCAGGTAAGTCCACCTATAGAAAATAAAGAGCAGGTGACTACCAGAATCAAGTCCATAAAATGTTGTCATGAATAACCTAATAAACATATAGATGTAGAGGAACTTACCAAGGCAGGTAACTCAATGAATGATATCAAGGTTTTCTTATTCTGCACAAAGAACTGAAATAATAAAATTACATGATTTAATCCCTACAAGTAGATCTGGCAGAAATTTTAAAAAAAATGTATTTCTTAAAGTATAACTGTGCCCAAACTTATGAACAGCTGATTAATAACAGACCTGTATGTTGGAGGAATAGAAGATGTCCTGTTTTAGATCATTAACTTCTACTTCCTCCAGATCGTGATGTTCTTGTATGGAGGATGACAGACGTGATGCTCCAGACCCCATGGGGAAATGACACATGTGATTCACCATGTGATTGATTAACTGAAAGAAACAGGAGAAAAATCAAAGTAAGAATCATTGATTAACTATAAGATAATACATTGATAAACTATAACACTTTTCTGGACCAATTTTGATATACAGGTTATTCATTTATTGTAATATAAACAACAATAAATATATATGTGCATCTACATGTATATAAAAATTAGACGTGTCAGGGTGACACAAATGCCCCCACTGACATGCATGTTTTCTGGAATAAGTTGTCTATAATCAATATCATGAAATGAATCATAGATGTCAAATCGCGATAACATAAATTCATGAGTTTACTGAAGATAGTTTTTACATGTATTTCAGCATTATAAGAATAAAGGCAAGTAATTTTATTTGGTGAGAGGTGCTTCTCATGAAATAACAAGATAATAGGTTCTTCGTGTATATTTGAGAAACTACAGTATTATATTTTGCTTTTAATGTGAAGTGCATTCATCCTATGGCATTATGCATGTATCCTCATAACTTCTTATTTTCTGTGTATCCTATCCTACCATGTTTCATTTCAAGAGTAATATTGCTGGTTTCCTACCAAAATGAAGCTACTAAAGACACTAACCAGTTTAGCAGCACACTGTATGGAGTCACAGTCAGAGGGTTTCCTGTCTGATTTATAATCCCCTACTGGACTCTGAAGCTCCCTCAAGTGATCAAAATCTGCATCCTGTATCATCCCTGCAAGGACCTGTCTGGCCTGGGATAAGGACTCGGTACTATGGCCCTTCACGGCCACATCCAGCACCTGGAGAATCAGTTCAAAATCTAGCTCAACATTGTATGAAGCTGAACTGCTACAGATTACAAGAGTCCTTAGAATTCCATTCTTATTATTATACATGTATTTTACTTCTGGGTTAAATTTATTAATTATCAGTATGTGGAAACAAAGCACATTTATGCAAACAAACTATACCTGTGTTTTTTAATGTCATGTTTCAGTTGATCGTTATTAAACTTAAAGCAAAAGCTACATATATAAAATTTTTCACATTAAAAACTGATTGTTGTCACAAACCTGGAACACTTTGTATACACAACTTCTGTCTGTATCTGTTGTTTCAAGAACAAGAGAGATTGGCATCTTCATACACCACTCCACAACACAGAATAACATGCCAACTATCAGCTGAAATCCAAAGTAAATAATGTAAAAAAGCAAGCACACCATCACCAAAGGCATGTTTTTATGTCTTGTAACATGTGAAGAAATTCCACCATTGTATGAATCTGCTACTGTCTCACAACTTACCCTCCTCTCATCCTGGGACACCTCCAGTCCTGTCAGGGGGATTAAGGCAGACACTGTAGCAGTCACAACCTCTATTATATGCTTTGGTAAAGCTGCATGGTAGTTTAACAACTGTTCGGTATGATCACACAACATTGATAGCACATCAGTTGCTGTTTTAGCAACTACTTTGTTTTTGCACTGAAACAGTAAAGAATAATACTATGATAATAACAATAAAATTGTGACTTGATAATAAAAAAAAATTCAAGTTTCCTTAATATCTGGAAAAATTATTAACTTTTATTCAGTGTCATACCCTAAGGTTTCCAAGTAATACAATCACAGCCTCGTGAAGTTTGGCATGAAGGGTCTGATGACACAACTCTTCATATAAATATATACCAATACTGCTTAAAGCTATACACCTGAAACATTACATATCATCTGTTGAAAGAGTAACATTTTCCAGAATTTCTTAAGAAAACTTAACTTTCAAAAACCTTTCTGTTCATGTAAGCAGAAACTTGTTACTGAAGTCATATCTAAACATTTACCGGTATGTCCAGAATCTACTAATGTCGCCAAGAACATTTCACCTCAAATATTTGTTTTAACATGGACAACGTTTAAAGGGGCTCAGTGGTTGCTTAATATGAATAAACTATCTTTAAACTTTGACCTTAGAGCAAAGAATCCCAAATTAAGTAGTAAATATGAAATTTATAGCTTAAAAAACATTCTAATTATTGCATCCCAATAGTCATTTCAATAATCTTAACCCTTGACCTTGGATCAGGTGACTCCAAAATGTCTCAAAAATGTGATATCATCACATCCAATTACATGTATCATGATTCTGAACTTTGACCAACAGCTCCCAAAATCTTCCTCTTAACACAGTCCATATATAGTAAATAAGAAAAAAGTCTAAAAGTTGAGTGATGCTGTTTATTGTGTCACAAAGGCGTAGACAGAGAGACAGACAGATGGACAGACATGCACAAAGTATATATTATATTTATGATAACCTGACAACATTCAATTCATACCTGGCAGTTTCTGCTGATTCTTTCTTTCCACTGTGTAAAAGTTGATTAATTATGGATTCCTATCAAAGAGAAAAAAATTCAGTATTAAGGTTTCTTGAAGAACATTGTATTTATAATTTGTCACCATTATTCTTTTGTTTCTTTAATGAAGGCTTACCTTGAATGTGTTACAGGACAAAGACTCTACAGACAGATCCCCAACATTCAGTACTTGTATGTCCTGGTAGTGGTTAGGGAAACACATTAAACTCCCTATTAAAGAAAGGGCCTCTGATCTAGGAGTCTGAAAACAAGAAGTGGTTTAAAAATGTCAGGTTAAATCTCTAATCAGAAAAATATCATGGCAACTAGCAAGTATCAAGTTGTACTGAAAGCTCATTTTGTGAATTTATAATAAAAATCCAAACCTTGAAAATTATGCCCAAAAGATAAATATAGATCTATTAATGGGAATACTTATACTACTGATTCTGCTTTTGTTTGATGACAAACCTGTCTGAGATCTGGAGATGACAGAACCACTCCAGCTGCCTGGATGAAGTTTTTTATAAGTAAGGTGGAGCTCTGTAATGGCATCGAGAAGAATCGGGGCCCACAGTGTCTTACCAATACATTAACAATCTCCTGTCAAATAGAATTCACAGTCAATAATACTACCAATACATCAACAATCTCCTGTTAATTAGAATTCACGGTCAATGATACTACCAATACATTAACAATCTCCTGTCAAATAGAATTCACAGTCAATGAAACTACCAATACATTAACAATCTCCTGTCAAATAGAATTCACAGTCAATGATACTACCAATACATTTATTTATCAATCTCCAGTCAAATAGAATTCACAGTCAATGATACTACCAATACATTATTAATCTCCAGTCAAATAGAATTCACAGTCAATGATACTACCAATACATTATCAATCTCCAGTCAAATAGAATTCACAGTCAATGATACTACCAATACATTAACAATCTCCTGTCAAATAGAATTCACAGTCAATGATACTACCAATACATTAACAATCTCCTGTCATGGAATTCACAGTCAATGAAATTACCAATACATTAACAATCTCCTGTCAAATAGATTGATTGATTGTTTGTTGTTTAATGTCCCTTTCGAGAATTTTTCACTCATATGGAGACGCCACCACTTGCTGGTGGAGGGCTACAAAATTTGACCTATACTCGGCACTCAGGGCCATTGAGCAGTGAGCGATCTTTTTCGTACCAGCACCTACTGCAACACGGGATCTCTGTTTATACAGTCTCATCCGAAGGACCGGTCTCCACATCCCACAGTGGGAATTGAACCCGCGACGTAAGGATCAACTCCTTACTCCGCGACTCTAGAGCAGATGCTCTAACCACTGCGCCACATGGGCGACCCTGTCAAATAGAATTCACAGTCAATGAAACTAACAATACATTAACAATCTCCTGTCAAATAGAATTTGCAGTCAACGATACTACCAATACCCATGTCAAATACAATTCACAGTCAACTAAAAATCAATTATTTCTCTTTGAATCTTATCTCATCCAGGTAATTCTTGCACAGTTTTTCTGTATCACAATTTACCCACCTTTTATACTAAGCCCTATTAACTACATCTGACACCTACCTGGTCTGTTGAACCAATCCCTTTGTGGAGGCACATGTAGAACTGGGAAAGTAATTCTGGAGGGAGGGGGAGGTCATGTCTTCTGACCACTGTCTGACACAGAAGCTGATAAGCTAGGAGTTTACCTTTCTTAAAGTCATCTGATAATGTCAAACACTGAAAAGGAAAAGTCACAATATACCAGTGCATTTAGTTCAATGTGTTGGAATATTACAAAAGAAAAATCTTCTCTTTTAGCTTGTCATTTTTTTTTATCCAAAAAGCTGTTCTGCACTTCATTGCTCAGCATTGTTCAGCAAAAAGAATCAGCAAACAGAAAAAATCAATAAATTGGTAAATACGACAGAGTTTATAAATTCTAAAAGTGCATATCCTACTTCATTTAGATGTATATGAACTTGATTTATGATTATCCCATATACTTTATTCTACTTGCCCCATTACTTAAGAATTCTCCAAATGTAAACACTAAATACAGACCTCAAACTCCCAAGGTGTGATCGTCGTGGTGGGAGGGATGTATTCAGGGGTCGGGGGAGAAAATGTGTTATCCTCTGACACACCTAAGTTATTCCGAATCTACAACCAAAACAAAATGATGTAAATATTGACAGAGTATTATATATTCCTTAAAAGCATAAAGTATTGATTGTTAAAAAATATAACCAAGATCCAAAATAATAATTCATCCACAACTGGAAATGTGACATATTTATAATTATATGAATATGAATAAATATGAAAAAAAAATTGTTATGAACAGTAACTGTCAAATGATGAGCTATGAATAAGATTTTATCAGTTCTTTAAAGTGCAGCTGTCATCAAAAACATTATGTGTCTATAATTGTTTTAATTGAAATGGCTATGGAATTTAAATATCATTTAACAGATTGAGACTGATAGTTTCTCAACTCATTTTCAATCATGCATACTAATATGATATATGTAGTAAGTTTTTATACAATGTACTTGAGAGCTCTTATGTACATTTAAGTCCTGTATGACAAAAAGATGCAACACAACTGCCTTAAAACCACTCTGCCCATAATAGAAACCCTTCAGTTATTTTTCATCTTTCTCAAAATGTGCCCGCACTTTACACATATATATACACTATGTTTGATTTCAGGGTAACAAAACTTCACATGTCACATTCTTTTTTTTAATCTCTCGTCTTTTATCAGGAAATTTTTTGGCCTATTATACCCAAGAAAAATTAATGTCTTCATCAAAAGTTTACAATGGTTGCTTTTTAACCTATTTACTGCAGTGAATGATATTGCAAAATTTTGATAATATTAAGGTACATGTAAATGTGTATGCATACTTATTCTGTAGAACACGAAGTGTGTTCAAAGAATATGCAGCTAAAATGGTTTTTATCCAATAAGATCTTAAATATTTCCATTAAATTTTAAGGAAATGTATGAACATTATGGAATAAGATGGATATTCTGTATGAAATTATCACTCCAGCACAACAGACAGACATAACAACACCTAAGACAAAGTGATCCCAATCTATCTGCCACCCAAGTGACAGAAAAAAGTATATACATGGAAACGGTACAACTGTAATGCTATATGATAAATATCTGAACACAGGATAACGCCACATATATGAAGATAATTTGTAGTAGTTACACTATAAACACATACCCTGTGGTTACCATTTTTACAACCTATGCCTAGTTTTCTGCCTATTGAAAAAGTCTCCTCCAAATGGGCATCCGGTTCTGGCTATTCACACAAAACATTTGCATTACACATAAAGAATAAAATCTTTCTTTTCTGCATCATAAAAATAAAATGCAGGGTCATTCACCCTCAGTGTTTTCATATAAACATTAATTTTATACATTCAACAGAGAGGACTAGGTTACCTTATGAAGTGTGTCTAAAATTTTACTGAGTTCTTCAAACACCATGACATGGTTCTCAGAGTCTGTAATCTGGTTCACATCTCCCAGAATTCCTAGCATTCTCCTCCACAGAACTACAGAATTATCTGGTAGCCAGCCCTGCACTGTCCCTCCAGCTAACACACTTCTCATGTCATCTGTACATTCTATGAAAGTGGACAAGCTCTTTGTCATATATTACTCTTTTTTAACAAATGAAAATTTTTTTTTACGACACTAGTTTTTAACACACTGCACTTTGCTCATGATATAAAAATGATTTAGAAAAGATAAATGTGATATTTGCTGTATGTTCAAAATTCAAACATCTAATTTTCTTCCTTAATGTTCCTAACACAAATTAGTATTGTTGTTTATGACAGACATCATGCAAACAAATATCACTTGTCTAACGTAATCCTATATACTGCATACTTTGGACTTTGATTTTAGTTTGTATAATATCATTGATACACCTGGAAGTTTTCCTCATCTTTCAATTTTGCTAATTTAAACTCTTCACTCTACTAATTAAAAGTACAAGAGTAGTGAACAACCTCTGAAAAGCAGTTCATCATTCCTAAAATTAAAAAAATTATTCCCTCACCTTTGGATTCTATAGAACCATCTGTGGTGGTAGCTGCCATCTCAATGTGTAGACTGTCCCTATCTGGGGTGGGGCAGTCCTTCTGTTGTTGGTGTACAGTCAGCTCACTTATGGGGGAGGGACTGTCTGAGTGGATGGAGGCTGGGGAGGGAGATCTAGAATCTGTTGGATAAATCAGTTATCATCAGACAAACTGGCATCAAATAAAGACCATCATAAATACACAAAGAGTGATAATTAGCCAGATTTTATCCGTTGAAATAGTCATTTAAATAACCATTTCCTATCAATGTTTAACTTGAAACAAAATGACTTATTTGAAAATATTCTCCTTTCTCAAACAAAATTTGTTAACAAAAATCCCCCCTCCCTAAAAAAAATCTGTAAAATGAAATTTTCTTCAAAGTTTTTCCACAGAAATCATGAATGCCCAAAAACACTAAATAAATATCATTTAACTGTAGTGTTCCCCTTTCATTCTGAATATCTGCAGCTAGTTTTTATATTTAATCAACTAACTGTAATAAAAATTCTCAGATTTTACAAAGAGCTCAAAAAGTGCCATACTCAAAAGAAATTTATTTCATACACATTGCTTGAAAAAATGGGCATCAAATAAATAGACTTGATTTCACTAGAAACAATAGAAGCTGTCCTACATCTAAAGGAGACATCTTGTTCTGAGCGCTCTAGACTGATACTGTCAATGTCTGCCTCATTCTGGAGATTCTGCATACTCAACTTCGCCACCTCCAGGTCCTCAGGGGCAGGGGAATCTAAAAATAGAACATTTATGAATATTTATAAAACATATATTTTCTAAAAGTATATAGCCATAAAAGTTGAACAATTTGTTCATAAAATACAAAACTATAAAATGATAAGCCCTACATCGCAAAGACTGAAGCCTTCGAAACACTTTTCTTTTCCACATTTCTTTTCTCTTAAAAAAAGGATGTTACTTGAATGACCACTGAAACTCTTATTAAACACCTAACAGTGCAAGCTTTGAATGTTTTAAATACAGTGTTATACAAAAGTATCACCTTCAATTTAAAGTCAATAACTACACCAAGCAGCACACAGTGAGCTAACGGTCCTGTAATATTACACTTTATTACCTACATTGTATATTCCTTTTTTCTTATTTAATTTACTATTGTCCTTAAATTCCCTTTAGAGGTTGTGGTTTATTTAAAACTTTTTTTTTCAAATTGGTTTCTATCTATCTGTATACTTCATACATTTTTCTCAGGCTAGGAAGTAAATGTTTAAAACAAATGCTTATGAAAAGAACATAAAAATAAGAGATAATATATATGTATACCTGTTGTGCAAAGTTTAAAATTTTAAACAATGTGTATTTACACTGAAATTTACATAGCTCAAAACAAATGTATTTTTGATGAAACATCCGATAATCAAGGTACATTTACTGAAAAGAAGAGAAACAAACTCACAATATGCATTAATTTACAACTGAACATGTAGCCTTCAGACATACTAATTTAACCTTTGATAAAGATTAAGAATAAAATCAAAATATTTCACCAATTTTGCCTTGATCTTGAATTTCTGACCTCTATATCAATGGCCTTCTTAAACTAGACACTAAGTATCCCTATAGCAAGCATGAGACTGCCACATCTAAAAAAAATAGCGTCCTCAACATCTTCAAATTCTACAACTGATATTAAATGATTGATTGTATGTTGTTTTAAATCCCATTCGAGAATTTTTCACACATATAGAGATGTCACTGTATGCCGATTAAGGGCTTCATATTTAAACCTATAATCGGCACTCAGGGCCATTGAGCAGTGTGGGTTCTTTATCCTGCCAATGCCTACTGTGAAACAGGACTTCCGATTTTAAGGTCTCATTCAAAAGACCTGTGACTTTCACTTCTCATCCAGGCATTCAGCAAAGGAACACTTACTAATTATGTTTATGTCTTAGGTTTGATGCCGCAAATGAGAATCAAACCCAGGCCTCCCGATCAGGAAGCAAATGTCCTACCACAAGGCTACCATGACCAGTATACTGAAATGAGAATTTCTGATCCAAATACAACATTTTCTTCCAAACAGAATGGTCAAACTTTTTTTTTTTCAAATTGTGTTCACATCATTTCCTTAGTCTGCGATTTGATGTTTATGACCCTTTGATCAATAACCTTCATCTTCTGACCACTGTACATCTCTATAGCATGGTAATTTATTATTATATACTGTCTCAACAACACTGACAAAACCAATGTCAAAATTCTAAATAATTCTGTTCTAAAAATCTGATCTTTTGACATATAAATGAATACTCGGTAGATGTTTCTCTGACCATCAATGGAGGAAGGTATAAGTCTGAAAGGGCCAACAATGGTATTATTTCAGTCGTGTCTACAACAACGACGTGCTTCATTACAATAAAAACTGATCAAGATTAAAAACTCCTGATTCACAAATCTGCACTTTACAACTTACATATCTATAGGATCACAGTGATTCAGAATTTCTTTTTATTTGTTCACCTAATAGATAAAAGAATTCCTGCCTATAGATACCGGTACTTGGTCATGAAGTTTCTACTACTGTGGAATCATTAGATTTCGTGGTGGCTCAATATTCATGGAATTCATGGGTATACCCTGCATCCACAAATTCACATCCTCAACAAATTAATAACTGGGGTTTTAAGAGTCATCTTTCCTTTTGTAGAAATGAGTGAAGGCACGAAAAGGTCCCCTCAAACCTGTGAAATTTAGGCAATCCACAAAATTTGGCCCCCATGAATTTTAAGAAATGATACCATCTATGGAGGCAGACTCAAGGTTTCAGAATCCAGCTTCTTTTTCAAACTTCCAATTACAATTAAACTGTTCTATAAATTAAGAATTAAATTAACTAAATTAAGAATTAAATTAATCCAGTTTCAAAACTCCATATATAAAACTATACCAATTCAGAGTTTATATTATGTCTTTGTAAACAAACAAAACATTTATAACAAAATTCATGAACACAGAGACATGCATAGAAGCAAGCTACTGTATCAATGTGTGTCCCTATGTAAGTACACAAGTGAGGACATTATAAATTTCTTATTTTAAAAAAAGAATAAATCTGACATAGGTATACTATATTAATTTGGATATCCTTGATTAAACATAATTAAGCCAATCAAAACAAATTTTAATCTGTTTCAGTGCATATTAAATATTTACATTCACTCCCCCCCCCCCCCCCCCCAATTTTTAAGATATATTTTAAAACTCTCTCTCTCTTTTGTCCCATCTCAATAAGAGAATTAGACTTAATACTAATTTTTTTTAATTCATACTAATATTTTGACAATATGGTAAAAAGAGTGTTCATTTATCTGTTGTTGTTTTTTTTTACCTACATCTTAAAAAAGACCAGCAACACAGAATCTGTCCCTTAAGACATGTCATTTGGCTCGTACTGTAGTGTTTCCTCTATTACTTAGTGTTCAGTGTAAGATTACATCCTGTGACTTGTCATTAACTTCCCAACACACACATACACACAGAAAAAAAATATCCCAACACTATCTCATTCACAACTAAGGACAAAAATATAAAATCTTCTTTGGAAATGTCACTCTTAATTATTGAATACATGTTTAACTGAAACCAAATTTACACACAATATTATGCATCATTTCCTTCCTTTAAGTAACTGACCAACAGTCATGGTTAGATATAAATTGGTTATAAATTAGTATCTATATATCATGTTTATTACCATCATATCCTATATAATTACGTAAGAAACTGAAATAAGTATTCATAACTACTCTGTATTACTCTTCATGTGGTGATGGACATATGCCTTCAAGTATCTACATACAGTGAGTTTTGTGAGTAAATGCAGAGAGCAAAATAAAATCAATTCAAAATACAATTAATCCCTGAAATCTAATAAAGTTAAGGTCAGACGACACATTCCTCACATACAAGTATATGTTTTGTATACACTAGTACATGTATTACATGTATATCAAAAATTATTCATAATTGTCATTCCCTTGTGATTTCTAAATTGTTTTCAGTATGTTTTAAAAAATAAGTACACCAAAAATTGTGACAGTGACAATTCAAAAGATTATCCATAATTATTATATAAGAAATATCACCCTCTGGTATCTTGCCAAAATGCCTGGTAAGGTACCTGAATTTTTGGTGAGGAAACTTGTTTAAATAGCTATACTTCAATGACAAATTCTTGGGAAAAATTATATATTTTCGAGGAACACGTCGCCTGACCGATTTCTTATATATGCAGCATCTCCAAAGTTCATAACTTGAAAAGAATGAATAAAAAAAAATTGTCATTTTAGTAAACATTTATAAAATTATCTGTGCAGCATAAAAATATGATTTTACAACCAGAAGTCTCTGACAAGACTATAGCTCTATTGGTTTGTTCTTAATACATAACATTTTTAAGAAGAGAAAAAAAGCACTTGGACTTCAAACTATGGCAATGGCAATAAATAAAATAATGATCCTTGGTTTAGTCTATCTTTGTGGCAAGTTTGATCTGAAATTAAACCAGAACTGTGGCAAAGCATTTTGAATGAATTTCACACAAATTTCTATTTTTAGTAATCATGGCAAAACCTTTCATCAAAATCAAAAATTAAAAAAGGAAACTTGTATAGTGTATCTACTTTCAAAAAGGTTACTTCTGTAGGAAGAGTAGTCTTTTTGAAAGAATTAACGAGGTTCGCTCCTGAGCTTTTGAGCAGATTTTTGTCTTATCCTATATTTCAAAAATTCTGCATAATATTTTAGTTCTTACAATAAATTTGGATTCTACCATACCAATTAAACTATATCCAGTTTAAACTCCATGATTAAATTCCATACCAAAAGCATTAAGTGAGGAACTATATTTTGTGGCAGATGGATTTTTAGAAGAAAATGATCATTTTTTTTTTCTCTTTCGAAGTATTTAAAATATGTTAAGTTTGGATTCCTATTTTTACATACAGCCTGCACACAGAGTTATTCTGTGCCGCGAACAATTTCATGCTGGTCCTAAATTATATCTAAATTATATATTAAATACACTATCATGAATTCTATCATCATATTTGATAAATATAGGAAATATATTGTGAAAATCCAGAAAAAATAGCCCTAACTTTTGCTTAAAATTAGCACTATTTTAGTATTATCTAAAAATTAACATCACAGACCCCCACTTTTTATTTTCTTTTCTGATACTTTTTTAAGATACTTTTAACCATTCCTCTTAAATTCAGTAAAATGTCATTACTTTCAAATTATTTTATTGCTTGTTATAATTTTTAATTCCAGAAAAATTATATTTTTGAGTGCAAAAAGGTCAAATAATTAAACATGCAAAGTAATTAAAAATTTTTGTTGTCACAAATTTTAATGTATCTATTCAAGATGAAATAAGACTGTGTTTGTTCCCATAATTTATTTGAATAAAATATTGGAAGAAAAACTTTGAAAATTGAATCATGTGTAAGATGTATTTAAAGTGCAAAAAGGTCAAACTAAATGCTCTGTAGCACCAAAAGAAGCGCATTACCCCCCATTTTTGGTTTTGATTTTTAATTAAGCTATGTGTGTAGATTCCAAAAATACACTTGATAAAAAATTCTCATTACTTTTGATGACAGGATCCAACCTCCTTAAACAGAAAATTTTATTTTTAGTAGCAATGGCAAAACCGTTCATTGAAATCACAAACCATATATAGAATCATGTACCTTAGCATAAACC